CCCCTCCCCCTTCTTCCTTACATAAGAACAGAAGAGAACAGAAGAGAAACCAATGCTGGATCAGGCCAATGGCCCATGAGTCCAACACTCTGTCACACAATGGCCAAAAATACCAGGTGCCATCAGAAGGTCCAGCAGTGGGGCCAGGACATTAGAAGCTTTCCACTGTTCCCCCCCCCCCCAAGCACCAAGATGAGAGAGTATCACTTGCCCCAGAGTCCCTATCTATACCTTGTGGCTAATAGCCACTGATGGACCTCTGCTCCATATGCCTATCTAATTCCCTTTTGAAGCCATCCATGCTTGTAGCCGCCACCACTTCCTGTGGCAGTGAATTCCAAGCTTCCTTCTTCCATGGAAGCTCACTGGGTGACTTTGAGTCGGTTGTACTCTCTCAGCCTAACCTACCCCACAGGGTTGTTGTGAGGACAAAGTGCAGTAGGAGAGAAGGATGCTGCAAACTGTTTTGCGTCCCCGCTGGGGAGAGAAGCAAGATATAAATATCTCAGTACAGTAGCAGAGGGCACCTGCTCTTCTCCAAGAGATCCCAGGATCTATTGTGTGGGAAACGGCTGCCACACAAGTTAGAAGGCGAAGGCAAAGCAGCAGGGAAATCTGATTTCAAGACTCTGTCGTTCAGGCTGGCGATCTGGCGCGGTTAGATCTCTAGGAAACTGTTATCATATTGCCTTCCGGTCTTCTTTGTGGAGGCTGAAGCTGCATTTTAATTCTTTCTTTGTAGGCTTACTTGCATAGATAGACCAGCAAGAGTTTGGGGGTGTATAAGCTTTTGAGAGTCGTCAGATCTGGCAAAGGGAGCTTTGACACTTCAGATCTTGAACCCTGGGGAACTTTTTAAATATGTGCATGTGCGTGTGTGTGCAGCTGGAAGTCATGGCGACCTCTGGTGACTGACCCCTGCTGGGGCCCCGGAGGCTATTCAGAGAGGTGGCCGAATAAAGCCTGCCCCCGCCTCCCGACTGCTGGTATCCCAAGGAGGTCTCCCATCCGAGTACTAACCAGGGTCGACCCTGCTTAGCTTCTGAGATCTGATGAGATCAGGCTTGCCGGGGCTATCCAGGCCAGACCCTGGAAATCTTGTTGGTCTCTTAAGAAATAAGAAATAAAAGTGAAATAAATACATAAATAAATAAATAAAGATGCTCCTGGACTTGAATCTTGCTATTTACTGTAGGGTGTTATGTCTCAGGACTGGAACATTCCAGGACTATCTACCAGAGACTGGCTGAGCTTGGTTCTCTAGAACAATAGCCCGCCAGGACTCTGCAAGTGACCAGTGAGAAACTCTGAAACGTGTCCCGGCATGCTCTCTGTATTCCCTTCCAGGTGGAGAGGAAGTCCTCTTGCATTTCATACAGGAGTCCCCAGGTGACTACGTCCCCCTGGACGCCATAACCAAGACCCTCGGCATCTCAGCAAACGCAGAAGAGGGGGAAAGGCCTCAGGTGAGGAGCATTCTCCGTCCTTTCCTGCCCTTCCTCTTAGAAAGCGTACAAAGCTATCTTATATATTGTATCCAAGCCAATGCTCCATGGTATTCAGTATTTTTTTTACATTACAGGCACAGAAGGATCTTTTCTAGTAGTTTCATGCAGTCCTTTAGCCAAAGGTGTTGGGGAGGGATCCGGGCATTCCTTGCATGCTCAGCAGGTGCTCGGTCCATTGATCTCTTGGGTACCTCCCCAAAAGAGTAGCACGTCTAGATGAAGGTGACTTATGGCTCTCCCATACCTAGCCCACTGGAGTCTCCTTCACCTGGCAGCGGCACTGAAACATCTTGTGCGGAGATGTTCCAAATCCCACCAACTACTTGAGATCCATTGCCTCCGCCCTCGGATTAGAATTCCATCGAAGCTAGAGCTTGGATTCCGGCACTGACGATGAGGCTCAAAAGAATATTCTCTGAGAATAACAGTTTACGGTTATATGAAGCAAGATAACTTCTCTAGTGCATGGAGCCGAGCAATAGAAGGAAAATGGAAGGTCATGCAATGCTCCAGAAATGTAATTGCTGGGCTAAAATGGCCTTGAGCTTGTAAAACCATCAAAAAAAAACTAATCGTCCCTTCATGTGGGGATTCCCCCAAGCTTTATTTTTTATTTATTTTATTTATACATTCAGTTTATATACCGCTCTAACCTTTTTTTGACAGGTCTCTGAGCGGTTTACATACATATTCCAGAATCCCTAACTAGGGCCACATTGTTGATAGGGTGGTGTCTGCCTACCAGCACCCAGGGCTTGTTGTTTTTCTGGCTTCCTCTAGCGGCTTCGGGTATCGGCGTCCTTCTGGTGCCCTTTTCTGGAGCCGGTCTTTTCCGGGTAGCTTCCTCCGGCAGGCCTCGATCTGGCGCGCAGCTCCGTGTCGGCTGTAGCTCCAGCTAATGTCCTTGGTGGCTCCGCCGCGCCGCACGTCACTGCGCTCTCCAGCCTTCGCCTCTCCGGGCTCCGCCCAGTTCAAAATTATATGTCCAGCTTAACGGTCCCAAAGTACGGATGAGCAGTTATGCTTGCAAGATTAAATGCATTACCTTCTGCGGTCTCTGAAGGCCCCACATTGACATACCATTCTCAAATAGATATCGTAGCTATTAAATCTGTAAGACATGTTCTGTTTTGAATGCCCCTGGTATAATCAGGCGAGACAGAAATGGATTAAACCTTTGACACAACAGTGGACTGTGAGTCCTCAGCAGATATCCTTGTTTCTAAATTACTAGCGGATTCAAGAGTAGAAAATATACTCATTTTAACTAATTTTTTAGTTCAGGCCACGAGAGTTTGGGCAATTTCCAAGAGAACAGCAGTCTTTGTCACATACGTATTAGCCCTGTCTGGTCTGAATTCTTCCTTTCTTCCTCATATTCCCAGTTATGTTTTGTAAATGCTACTCAAGACCTATAGCAGGGGTGTCGAACTCATTTGTTATGAGGGCCGGATCTGACATAAACGAGACCTTGTTGGGCCGGGCCACGTGTGTCATAAAATGTAATGCCAGGTAGCGGTGATATAAACTTTATAAAGGAAAAAAACACAAAAGGGTTTTTTTTAACTTAAGATAGAAACATGCTTAAAACATTAGCTCTGTAAGCTGCAGACCTACTTCTGATTTATTGACACCACAGAAATCTCATTCAGAGCTCTGACTAGGACCCAGGTTAAAACATGAAATGGCTGAGTGATTAAGAGAGTCTAGCAAAGCAAGCTATGATGCAGCAGCAGCAGCAGAACTGGAAGCAGGAGATGGCTAGTTCCACTGCGGGCCTGATGGAAGCCCTCCGGGGGCCTGATCCACCCCCCCAAGCCGCATGTTTGACACCCCTGACCTATAGGTTAGAGGAGTAGAGAAAGGAAGAAAGGAAAAAATGCTTTACCTGCACATGGCTGGGTCTGAACCTGGAATCCATGCATAGTGGGTACTACATCACTGAAATTTTGTCAAGTGTTTATAATGGAGAGATCTGCGACCTATTGAGCTTTGTGGCCGAGTGGGGATTTGAAACAGGCCTCCTCCAATCTTAGTCCAGCACTAATCCTAAAATAACATTGGCTCCCCTTCATATCCTTTTGCAAAACCTGCCTTTCCCAGGTAGCTTTGGACTCAACGTTCATAGTCCACTTCTTCTACAAAAATTCAGCCCAAACACTCCCCTTTCCTCTGGTTCTCCACCTCCCGTTGTCTCCTTTATATTGAATTTTAGATTGTAAGTTCCTTGGGGTGGAGAGACTCATCTTCTTGCAGTCTTGTCGCATTGACAACGCGGTATGGAAACCAGTGTGCCCCAAAGCATTTCCAGCAGGGACAACTCGCCTATCCCAGCAAAGCACAATTCAAAACAAATTCTCTTTTCTTCATCTACAGTGTAATGAAGAAGTCTGTTCCTTATGAAGAGGGAAGGTATGAAGCTGCCCTGAGCCAACACTTCTTTCTCCGCCTTCTTTGTACCCGGTATAGCCCCTTTCCGAGTCCAAGAGTAACATTTATGTAAATCAGCGAGGCTGAAGCCCCAAATCTAAATTAATAAAATGTCTGCCTGTTGAGTCACTATGGTGCTGTTTGGGAGTCATTTCTCATTGAGCGATTGGGTTGGATCCTGCCGGCTTTTCTGCTTCATCTTTCTCAGCTCTCCTTTTCCCCATAGCCCTTTGTCCTGTGCAGCCTTTGTCCGTAAGGGTCCCATGATCCCTGGCGGTAGTTGAAAGGGTCTTCCTCTCTCTTTGACCAACAAAAAAGCTGTTAGGGGACCATGGTTCAGTGGTAGAGCATCTGTTTGGCATGCAGAAGGTCCCAGGTTCAATCCCTGGCCTCTCCAGAGAGAAGAATCAGGTGGTAGGTGTCGTGAAAGAACTCCATCTGAAACCCTGGAGAGCTGCTGCCAGTCTAAGTAGACAATACTGACCTTGATGGACCAATGGTTTGATTCAGTATAAGCAGGGATCATTTCCTGCAGGAGCGCACAGGAGCGGATCTCCGGCAGTAAAGAGCCCAGGGGGCGGGCACATGCAACAAGCCCCACCCCCTGCTCCCAGCGGCCCTTAGTCAGAGCAAGAAGCAGCCAGGTAACTTGCAGAGCCTGGCCCCCCAGCTCAAAACAGTCCAGTGGCACCTTTAAGACCAAGTTTTATTCAGGTACAAGCTCTCCCTCCTCTGCAAGGACAGATCTGCACGTCCCCCCCCCCCCAATAGCAAGCAATCCAAAACAGTCCAGTGGAGCCTGAGCGGTGGGTGTTGCCTTCTGACACACTTCCAGTGATGTCAGGGGTGTGTGGCACATGCAAATAAGTTATGCTAATGAGTTATGCTAATGAGCTCCTGCACCTCTTTTTCTACGAAATGACCCCTGGGCATGACGAAATGAGTTCGTGGTAGGATTCCACCTCTGGTTGCTGAAGGCTGGCTCTAGAGAGCTCACTACGTCTCCTGACCATTCATGGCTGGAACTCGGTCTATCATATTACAGACTTGGCAAATTCACTTTGAATTTCTCTTGAGGGGAAATCCAGTAACTGCTAATATAAGGTAAAGGTTCCCTTGCTCGAAAGCCAGTCGAATCTGACTCTAGGGTTGCGGTGCTCATCTCAGTTTCAAAGCCGAAGAGCCAGCGCTGTTACCTTCCCACCGAAGTGGTACCCATTTATCTACTTGCAATTTCTTGCTTTCGAACTGCTAGGTTGGCGGGAGCTGGAAGACATACTCCCTGTTCCTCTGAAGCTTCCAGGGCAGGGTATGTAACTTCCAAAGTTGCTTGAGGAATAGCCCCTTTGTATGTTAAACACCAGTTGTGTTCTGATCTACCCAGACACAATTGTGTTCTAATCTACCCAGAGCCAAATGTAGCTAATAAAAAGTAAGTCTCTTAAGACTGCTTGCTGGTGTTTAACCATCTTCCTGTCTGTTTGTCTGTGTGTGTGTGTTTATGGAGGCCCCAATTCAACTGTCTCCACCCCGTGCGTAATTTTATAAACCTCCATCAAGTTCCCCTCCCCTTAAGATCTCTTTGCTAAACTGAGAAGCCCATTTAGAAAAGCCTTTCCTTCAGCCTTTCCTCATAGGGAAGGTGCTCCAACCCCCTAAATCATGTCGACTGCCAGGGACCCAGGCTTTAGGTTTCTCTAAGGTATTTTTAATTCAGTTCTATGGAGTTGCTCTGCACAGGATTGCAAGGTAAATAGAATAAGAAGCAAAAGGTGGGTGTGGATGGATGACCACACTTCTGGTAACATGGGGGCATGGCCTAGTATGCTAATGAGCTGTGTTGTCAGGGGTGTGGCCTAATATGCTAATGAGTTGCTGCTGTTGGGTGTGGTCTATTATGCTAATGAGTTCCTGCTGGGCTTTTTCTACAAAAAAAGCCCTGAGTAGAACAAATTTAGAGTCTGGTGGCACCTTTAAGACCAACAAAGGTTTATTCAAGGTATGAGCTTCCGTGTGCAGGCACTCTTCTTCAGATACATTGGAATGGTAGGTAAGGTTCAAACGGATAGCCAGAGAATGAGCTTGTTGTTTAGTTTTCACTTTGCATATCATCACGTTACATGTTAATTCACTGTTCATTCTCTGGCTATAACTTTGAACCTTTCCTGTTATTCCAAAATATTTGCATAAGTGGGCATGCACATGAAAGCTCATACTTTGAATAAAACTTTGTTGGTCTTAAAGGTGCCACCGGACTCTAATTTTGCCCGTCTGTGTATTCCTCCTGGATTGGATAGACTGGATCATAAAGTGCAGGCAATTTCAGGGAGTCAAGTGCTCACGAGAGCCAGCCCAGAAGGGGAGAGGGGAGAAGGGGGGGGGGGAAAGTGAGGACAATCAATGCATTTTAGATTCTTTTTTTTACAGCAGTAGCTGGCAGGCTTACAAAACAGCTTACCCTATGAAATGCCAAGACAATTTGCGACCTTTCCACAACAGAGAATTCATCACAATACATGTCATTGGGATTATGGCAGAACACTGAATGTTGTTTTTTTTAAAAAAATACAAGCTCCGTGGTGCGGTGCGCGCACCAAATGGTGGTGGTGGTTGTTGTTGTTCAGTCACACAGTCAAGTCCAACTCTTTGCGACCCCATGGACCAGATCATGCCAGGCCTTCCTGTCTTTTGCCGTCCTCTGAAGTTGGCTCAATTTCATGTTCGTTGCAGTATGCCGTGCAACTTCCGGCCGTTTTTGCCTGTGGCTGTGCAGGAGACTTGCACATGCAACCCGCGAGAGCTAATTCACACTCAACCATCGGAAGGAAGGAAGGAAGGAAGGAAGGAAGGAAGGAAGGAAGGAAGGAAGGAAAGGAAGAAAGGAAGAAAGAGGAAAATACCCAAGCTGAAAGGGTAGAGGTTTGTAAAATTATATACGAAGGGGAGAAAGTGGATAGAGAGGAGAAAAATCCTCTCTGCCATAATAGAGCCTTTTCTGCATTCTCATTTCCCTTGCTTTTAAGTTCCTGTTTCTTGGGGAAACCCCCCCCCCCCAATGATCGATTCAATAGTACACCGGTTTCTGTCCGGCCTGTCTCCCCACAGATTAAAACTGCATGTTTTTATATGATATAAAAAGGTAAAGGTTCCCTTGCTCGAAAGTCAGTCAAATCCGACTCTAGGGTTGCGGTGCTCATCTCCGTTTCCAAGCCGAAGAGCCAGCGCGGTCCGAAGACGTTTCCGTGGTCATGTGGCTGGCATGACTCAACACCAAGGCGCACGGAACGCTGTTATATGATATAGTAAAAGGTAAAGGTTCCCTTGCTCGAAAGCCAGTCGAATCCGACTCTAGGGTTGCGGTGCTCATCTCCGTTTCCAAGCCGAAGAGCCAGCGCGGTCCGAAGACGTTTCCGTGGTCATGTGGCCGGCATGACTAAACACCAAGGCACACGGAACGCTGTTACCTTCCCCCCGAAGTGGTCCCTATTTATCTACTTGCAATTTCTTGCTTTCGAACTGCTAGGTTGGCAGGAGCTGGAACTAGAGACGGGAGCTCACTCCATCATGCGGCACCCGGGTCTTGAACTGCTGAACGACCGACCTTCCACAGCCTGCAGTTCAGCGTCTTAACCACTTGAGCCACCGCAGCTCCAGTTATATGATATACACCAGTGTAATATCGAATCAACCACTAGAGGGGGCAAAACACATGTGGAACAGGAAACCCCAAAGAACACATTTAGAGCCCAGTGGCACCTTTACAATCAACAGTTTTATTCAGGGTATGAGCTTTCGTGTGCAGGCGCACTTTTTCAAATACATTGGAATGGCAGGCAAGGCTCAAAGTTATCGACAGGGGCCGAACAGCAAATGAACATGTAACATGGGGAAGATGTGCAAGGACAAAACTAAATAACAACCTAAGGTTATAAAGTCAACTGTCGTAAAGCAATAAATACGTCAAAGTAGCAGATAACTGTGTAAAGGTGTCTTCTAATTGTGGGAAAGTAAAGTGATACTCCCCCTTCTCTTCTCTGAGGCATGGAGGTCCCTTAACGGCATTCTCCCCTCTTTTTTGAGGTGGATGCAGTCCAAAGAGACAGACCACACAAGGGAGGAAAATGAGAATGTGGAAAAGCCCACAGTGATCAGCAAGGGGGAAAAGGGAAATTTCACTCAACGAATATGTGGAACTCCTTGCTACAGAGTGTATCGATGGCCACTGCTTTGGTTGTCCTTCAAATGGGGGTTAGACAAGTTCATGGAGCAGAAGCTCAACAATTGCTATTTTATTTTGTTTTGTTTTTTGGCTTTCACGTTGCAGCTGACTTATGGTGACCCTGTAGCCTTTTCAGGGCAAGGGATGTTCAGAGGCGGTTTGCCATTGCCTGTGTCTGCAGGCGTAGCAACCCTGGACTTCCTTGGTTGGTCTATCATCCAAATACTAACCCGGCTCTGCTTAGCTTCTGAGATCTGACGCAATCAGGCTATCCAGATCGGGGTAACTGCTATTAGCCACAGCCAGGGCTACTTTTGGGCAGGAACGCACAGGAACGGAGTTCCGGCTGGCTCCCAAGTTGGCCACGCCCAGCAGGAACTCATTAGCATAACAGGCCACACCCAACAGCAGACACTCATTAGGATTGGCTACTTTAGGGGTGTGTTGCCTAACATGCAAAGGAGTTCCTGCTACAAAAAAAGCCCTGGGTTTGGACAACAAACAAGGTAAACAGAATAAGAAGCAAAAAGTGGGTGTGGCTGGATGACCACACTTCTGGTAACATGGGGGTGTGGCCTAATATGCTAATGAGCTGTGCTGTCAGGGGTGTGGCCTAATCTGCTAATGAGTTTCTGCTGTTGGGTGTGGCCTATTATGCTAATGAGTTCCTGCTGGGCTTTTTCTACAAAAAGAGCCCTGGACAGCTGTTCAATAGAACCTCTATGGTCAGATGCAATATATCTCTGCCTATTGGATCCTGGGAACCCAGAGTGTGGAGGAGGAAGAACTGTTGCCTTGATAAACCATTTGGTCATCTTACTAGCCACTGCAGGAGACTGGATGCTGACTATACGGGCTCTTGGTCTGATCTGGCAAGGCCCTTTGTGCAGATTGGCCTGGAAAAGAAGGGGAAGTTGCACAGCAAGCAGCAATTGGTGGCTTGATCCTAACTTCGGACAAAGGCTAACTCAGTGGAGGGATAAGACCCCCCTTAAAAATGAGATTTTTTTTCAAATCGCAAAAATTAAAACTCACTGAAAAATAGAACAGTCTCTCTCTTTTTTTTAAATAGCTAATCTTTTAAACCCTGATGTATCTTAATAACAGTCGACGTCTTTAGAAACAGTCTGGTTTTTCTTCTTTTGAAGCACACCGTAGCTTTCAACACAGGCGATATTTCAAGATAACTGGTCCACGTGAACCACCAGAATCAGAACCGTAGTCCGTCCTGTCGTGACCGAAATAGCTGCACTGTTAACCTTGGCTGCGACTCAACCGGGGAGGGAGGGGAGAAAATAAAAAACCAACAGGCACATCATTGGCAAAATCCAAACAAGTCCAGAGTTTCAGGCTGCGGAAGCCTGAGGCTGATTCTCAAGTCTCTTTGGCTACCAGACTCTGCACTTCTGTACCGGGTGCATGGCCATGCCCCCTTTGCAGTGGAATGCTTCCGAAAAGGCTTCGAAGTTCTGCAAGGAACCCATCACCCTGGGAGGGAAGGAGAAGAAAAGGAATGTCTCAAAAAAAGGACACTGTAGGATATTGTGCAGCTAGAAGACAGCTAAAGAAACTGGGAATTTTCACTTTATTTTATTAGATTTGTATCCTGCTAGGGTTGCCAGTGGGGGGGGACGGGACACGAGGTTTCCCATCTGGGATCTTCTGGTGTGCATTGCGATGACATCACCCGGAAGTGATGCCATTGTGCTAGGCACGTCGCTGGGGGACACTCTTGCATCTGGCCAGAAACTCTGTGGTACCATAGAGCTTTTTGGCTGAGCGCTAGAGTGTCCCCCCCCCAGTGACGTGCCCGGTGTGTTGATGTCACCTCCGGGTGACATCATTGTGCCAGACACATCGACACGATCCCGGGACTTTGGGGGTGGGGTTTCCCCCACCAGCTGAATCCGGGTTGGTGGATCGGGGGCCCTAAAAGTGCGCAAACCTCTGCCCCCCTGGGGGAATGGCAAGCCTATATCCCGCCCTCCCCACATAGCAGGCTCAGGGTGGGTTCCATCAAATATGCGAACAATTAAAAAGAATTAAAATACATCAGCAAAACACAACAATATCCCTATATTTCTTATCCAAGCCTCAACAGATGAGGTCTATTTCAGATTGGGGTTCCCAGATGGTAACACAGATCTTACCCACTGAAAGTGAGGCTCAATAGAGGGGGGATGCCCTCTGCCTCAACTGAAAGCCCGGTGGAAGAGCTCAGTCTTGCAGGCCCCGCGGAACTGTAGAAGGTCCCGCAGGGCCCTGATCTCATATGGGAGCTCATTCCACTAGTTGAGGCAAGATGGATGTCCCTGGGGCCGGGGACCAGTGGAGATGCTGATTAGCAGATCGTAAAGCCCTTCGAGGATTTGCAGGAAGGACATCACCAGAGGTCATTTCGGGGGGAATCGCGGGGGATCGCAATTCCCCCGGGTGAGGTACGGGGGGCGGGGCACATGACGAAGCCCCGCCCCCTGCTTCCAGCCGCCCCGCTTCCAGCCCTCATTCAGCCAGGAGGAGGCAGGAGAAGAGGAGAAGAGGGAGGGTAAGTTGCTTCCTCCCTGCCTCTCCCCACCCCTGCCTGCCTGGGGCCAGGGAGGGCCTTGGCGGGGCTTCCTTGCCCTCCCGCCGGCCTTGCAGGTCCACCGCCGGGCCCCTCATGGGGCTCAGCAGTGGAGCTGCAAGGCCGCCGGTGGCGGTCGGGACCGTTTGGGGCGGGGTGTGTGGCCTTATGACACACTTCTGGTGATGTCAGAGGGTGTGGCCTTATGACACACTTCCGGTGATGGCAGGGTGTGTGGCATATGCTAATGAGTTATGCTAATGAGTTCCCCTCGCTCTTTTTCTACGAAACGACCCCTGGACATCACTCCGCCCTCTGACTCCGCCCTCGCTCGAGCAGCCGCTGCCGTCCTGGATCATTCTCTGCCGCCGCCATTTTTCCTCGCTCGCCGCCGCCGCCACCTTCTCTCTTCATCTCTTCATCTCTCTGTCGTTGGCGGGAGCTGGGACGGGGGACGGGGGCTCAACGCGGTGGGGATTCGAACAGCCTTATGGCTGTTCGCTACAGATGAAGAGTTCTGGGGAACTCTAAAGCTCGCGCACTGCTCTGTGTTATTCTGGTTGTTCTTAATGAAAGGTATGATATGATCGTTGTTCCATTCCTAGGGTCGCCAGCCTCCAGGTGGGGCATGGCATTCCCCTGGAATTACAACTGACCCCCAAGCTACAGAGATCAGTTCCCCTGGAGGAAATGGCAACTTTGGAAGGCACCACATCCCTGTGGAGGTCTCTCCAAACTCCACCCTCCCCAGGCTCCAACCCCAAATCTCCAGGCATCTCCCACCCAGAGCTGGCAACTCTACCCATTCCCAACCTATGTCACTATGTTGGGACTCCGTTTCCTACTACTGGCATGGTTTTTTCCCATCTAACATCTGACTCTTCTAGGGGAGGAGGAGGAGCAGCAGGAGTAGATTGGATTTATACCTGCCTGTCACTCGGAGTCTCAGAGCGGCTTACAATCTCCTTCCCCTCCCCACAACAGACACCCTGTGAGCAGTGTTCCCTCTAAGCTGAGTTAGTGTGAGCTAGCTCACAGTTTGTTAGCCTACGACGGCTCACACGTTTTTGTCTTAGCTCGGGAAACAGGGCTCCAGAGCAAACTCGTTTATGCAGCAGCCAAATTGCTCGCTCACAACTTTAATGCCCGTAGCTCACAAAGTAGAATTTTTGCTCACAAGACTCCACAGCTTAGAGCAGGGGTGTTGAATTCATTTGTTATGAGGGCTGGATCTGACATAAATGAAACCTTGTTGGGCCGGGCCATGTATGTCATAAAATGTAATGCTAGGTAGCGGAGGTATAAACTTTATAAAGGACACAAACACAAAGGTTTTTTTAAACCGAAAATAAAAACATGCTTAAAACAGCACTCTCGCAATATTTGGTTTATTTAACAGTGTCTGATAACTGACACCTCTTGCTCTGAATTATTGCATCAAAATGTCTGTGCTGTTGCAATCTTGAGTATGCTGTTCAGGTGTGTATCTGTAAGCTGCAAACCTGCAATGATGCAGCAGCAGCAGAACTGGAAGAAGAAGCAGAAGACAGCCAGTTCCACTGTGGGCCTGATAGAAGCCCTCCGGGGGCCTGATCCAGCCCCCGGGTTGCATGTTTGACACCCCTGGCTTAGAGGGAGCATTGCCTGTGAGGTAGGTGGGGCTGAGAGAGCTCTTTTGAGGACTGCTCTTGAGAGAACAGCTCTGAGAGAACTTGTGACTGACCCAAGATAACACTAGCAGCTGCATGTGGAGGAGCGGGGAATAAAACCCAGTTCTTTCATATTAGAGTCTGTGCTCCTACCCACGACACCAAACAAGCTCAGGTGCCTCTGTTAATTATTTAGACTCATTTGTTCATTGAGCTATTTATACCCCACTTTTCTCCCAATGTGGACCCAAAGTAGTTTGCCATGTCTTTCATCCTTCCTCCATTTTATCCTCACACCAACCCTGTGAGGTAAGCTAGGTGGAGAGGGAGAGGGACCGACCCAAGACCACCCGGTGAGCGGGTCCCAGGTCTCCTAGCCCAGTTCTCTGACCACCACACCTGTCTATTTATGACAGAGTCTCCTTTCCTCTCTTTTCCACTTTCCTCTTATAATGTATCTTGCCTTTAATCAGTTTCTGCTGTTGGGTGTGGCCTATTATGCTAATGAGTTCCTGCTGGGCTTTTTCTACAAAAAGAGTCCTGGCTCCAGGTATTTCCCAACCCAGAGCTGGCAACACAAGCAAATACGGCCATATCAACCCCTTCCCCAGGAAGGGCTTACTTCATTGTTAATTCTGGTAACTACATGGTAAATAACAACAGTGGGTTGGGAGAAGAGTCACTAGGACCTTACCTGTACTTTAACGGACTGTGGACATCAGTCTTAATGGATTGGCTTGCATATTCAGGCCTGTAGGAACCGCACCAGACCTGGACAGGGACAATGAGTTCAGTTTGCATAAGTCCAAAAACGTCCCACATAGACAGAAACACCCGTGTAGAACCAGTCAAGCCAAATGCTGACCTGGATTCTTAGGATATGGATCTTAAGGACCTGTGCTGTTCCAAAGCCACACCCTTAGCAGCCCAATCTATAGTTGACACACCTCTAATGTATCTAGTTTGATTCCCCAGCTTTCTTTCTGGCTTCTGCTCAGACATAGACATGGTCCATCCACTAGGTGGACCTAGGCAGTTTCCTAGGGCAGCAGAGGGTGAGGGGTGCCCAGGTCAGTAGAAGAGGCTTGCCCAGAGTGTAAGGCTGCCAGACCCCTTGGTGGAGGTGGGGTGTCCCCTGCTGCCACCGGGGGGACTTCCCAGGAGAAAGAGAAAGGCCCAGGCCTTGTTGCTGGCATTGCACAGAAAATGATGTCATCAGGCCAGCGCCATTCGGGTGATGCTCTGGTATTTGGGCAAAAACTCTATGGTAGGAGATGGTCTTACCATAGAGTTTTTGCCAAAACACCAGGGCGTTGCAGGGACATCACAGAGTGACGGCATCACTTCCTGTGTGATGCCAGCAACGAGGCCTGGGCCTTTCTCTTTCTCCTGATAAGTCCCCCCAACCCTGGCCACTTGCCAGGAGGGACCCTAACCCTAACCTTAACCTTAACCCCCTATGAAGGAGGGAATGAACATGGGTCGGCCTGGTGGCTCAAGTTGTGCACCCATCTGGCCGGCCAGCCTAGGGTGCCAGAAGCCCTACAGCTGGCCCTGTTTCTGTATTTTTGGTTCCAGGACCCAGCCCTGATGGACTCTTTTATTTGCAAGTGCTGATCTTGATGCAAACAAAGGGAGCAAAAGCCTATATGCAGAGGCATCCTTGCCGCCACTTTCTGCTAGGAAGATCAACACCAGAAGCTCAGAGCTTCCTGACTGCATCTTCCCCACCTGGACAGGTAAAGGAGCTTAGAAGGAGAAAGCAGAGAAACAGCTGAACGTTATAAGAGGAGACCCTCTTCCAACAACCTGGGCGAAATTGAGGAAGAAGAGCTGTTCATGAGTCAGATCCAACCCAGGTAAACTTGGCTCCTTTCCTTCTCTTTCAACCCACTTTAGGTAAGCCTGTTGGGGGAAAAAACAAAGTAATTATCGCCTAACAATGAAAAAGGACTTTTATGTCTTCTGTAATATAACATCAAGCCCTGATCTGGATAGCCGAGGCTAACCCAATCGCGTCAGATCTCGGAAGCTAACCAGGGCCAGCCCTGGTAAGTATTTGGATGGGAGACCACCAAGGAATATCAGGGTCTCTTCGAAGAGGCAGGCAATGGCAAACCTCCTCTGAATGCCTCTTGCCTTGAAAGCCCTACAGGGTCACCATAAATTGGCTGCAACTCGATGGCCAAAAAAAAAGTTAACATCCCTGATGCTGCCTCAAGATGATGAGGGACGGGCACAAACTGGCTCACGAACTAAAATTCATGACGAATTTTGGCCGGTTCACGGTTCGCAAAGTGAAGTTTGTGGCAGGTGAACTGGCATGGACTTTACATGAACTTTCAAGCAGTTCGCGGAGGTCTGTTGCAGTTTGTGAACGGGTACATTTCCAGACAGACTGTCTCAGCTCAATCCTGAATGTTCACCAAACTTCAAAGCAACTGGGGGGGGGGGAAACCTGGAGGGCATATAGGGGAGCATCCGGGGGAAGGTCCCCTGCAACTTTGGTGTCTCTAGCTTGTACAGGATCTGTTCTATACACTCCTGAACCTCCTGAACCTGTGCCTGCCATTTCCCCAGAAAGCATTTTCCTGGGGGGCACCTTCTTTGGAGGGGGTATAATGTGGACTCCTGAAATCCAATCCTCGCCAGTCTCAGAAGGCAGGTAGAGGAGAGTCAGCTGGAGATTCCCTGCAAGTCTGGTGTCTCTAGCATGCTGGAGGGCTGTTTTGCCACACCACGAACCTCAAGAATGGAACCAGTTCATTTGGCCCCTAAAAGTTCACGTGGTTCGCGAACTGGGCATACCACGAACAGAATCAAACTGCATTTTCCCGGTTCAGGCCCATCCCTAAAGACGATTCTCTGCACAAGGCAGACCACAAAATAGCACTCCCCTCCCATAAGTGCTGGCTGACAAACCCCCCCCCCCCGGTGTTGCGCACATCCCCTGTGCACTCTCACTGCCCCCATGGTTACTAGGCTTGCCAACCTCCAGATGGGGCCTGGAGATCTCCTGGAATCACATCTGATCTCCAGACTACAGAGATCAGTTCCCCTGAAGAAAGTGCTTTAGAGCAGGGGTGTCAAACTCATTTGTTATGGGGGCCTGGTCTGACATAAATGAGACCTTGCTGGGCCGGGCCATGTGTGTCATAAACTGTAATGCCAGGTAGCGGAGATATAAACTTTATAAAGGACACAAACTCAAAGGGGTTTTTTTTTAACCGAAAATAAAACCATGCTTAAAACATCAGCGCACTTGCAATATTTTGTTTATTTAGGGCTGCCAAGTGGGGGTGGGGGGCAGGGAAACCCCCGCTTTGGAGGCCCGATTTCCACCGCTGCGGAATCGGGCCCCGGGGGGAACTCCGCCCCCCCCAAAGCGCAGCGTAGCTGCGTCACTGGAGGTGATGCAGCCACGTCGTTCACCTTGGGGGGCGTGGCCAGATCGTCGGAGGGAAAACTCTATGGTTTTCCTTCCAAAGATCTGGGCCACGGCATCAACGTGAGCGATGTAGCACGTCACTTCCTGTGATGTGCTGGCGGCGCGCCACCAAGGAGCTCCCGGAGCCCAGCAAGGCTCCCCCGCCGCCAAGGTAAGAAGACTTGGCAACCCTATGTTTATTTAACAGTGTCTGATAACTGACACCTCTTGCTCTGAATTATTGCATCAAAATGTCTGTGCTGTTGCAGTCTTGAGTATGCTGTTCAGGTGTGTATCTGTAAACTGCAAACCTACGATGACGCAGCAGCAGCAGCAGCAGAAGACAGCCAGTTCCACTGTGGGCCTGATCCAGCCCCCGGGCCACATATTTGACACCCCTGATTCGGAGGGTGGACTCTGGCATCATATCCTGCTGGGGTCCCTCCTCCCTCCAAACTCTGCCCTCCCCAGGCTTTATCCTCAGATCTCCAGGAATTTCCCAACCCAGAGCTGGCAACCCGGTCTCCAAGAAACCTGTCTAGGTGTTTGGTTCAGGTTGTCAAGACAACCATCGTAGCTCTTAGCGGTAAACCTTTTGGGGAGGAAAGCAAGGAGTTCAGTTTGCTCCTCGCCTGATGTTCACTTCCCTCTCGGCTCCTCAAGCGGCAGATTATAACCTTCTGCAATGTCAAACCCATTACCTGGGGCTGCTGGGCGTTTAATTGGCCAATTTTGCTTTTTAGGGCCAGAGCTATTACTGGGAACAACGTAATGTGCTTTGGCGCCAGGTACTTCAGAATGCTCCCTTGCCTTTGGAGTTGACTCTCCCCCTCTCCCCACCCCAAATCAAAGAAATAGCTTTGGAGACTAGATTTGCAAAATGATCCCTTCTGAATAATTGTCAGTGTTGGTTCCGAATCTTTATATTGGGGGGGGGGGGAAGAGAACCTTCAACCTTGGCCTCCTCGTGCATCCTTTCCTTATCTTTCAGTGGTAGCAACCTCAGACGTATCAGCCTGTCCCTCACCTAGCATAATTTAAAGGGGGCAGATGGGGAGGGGCGGAGCTGTGGCTCAGTGGCAGAGCATCTGTCTGGCGCACAGAAGGTCCCAGGTTCAATCCCCGGCATCCCCAGTTAACGGATCTCAGAGTAGGTGATGTGAAAGATCTCCGCCAGAGACCCTGGAGAGCCGCTGCCAGTCTGAGTAGACAATGCTGACTTTGATGGACCAAGGCTCTGGATTCAGTACCACGCGGCTTCGTGGGTTCACGTGCACAAGGTCTCCCTTCTCTGCTTTCTCATCTCCTCTCTTGCAGTTCTCCCCGCATTCATTTGCCTTGAACGGTTCTCCCTTGTCCCCCTGCTAAAAATGCCGGAGGCAACTTGCAACCCAATTAAAACACATAACGATCCAATAAAAACCTGACATAAAGATCAAATGGGCCAGTAGTCTGGGACAAAAACATCCCGGGTCGTAAAACCTAGACAATGAGGACACAGCCATGGCGGCGGTCAGCACGGAGGAGATGAAGAGAGGCAGTGACTTCCCAAGAAGGCGGTTGGCTCGGCAGCTGATGACGTGGCCAGCAGGAGGACGCCCGGAGCCGCAAGGACGATGTGACGCCCACCGCGGCTGCGCACCAGGGCCCATAACCAACAGCCCCCGAGAGGAGTCTCCAGAGAGCTGAAAGAACAGCGGAGGCCGCGGAAGACGCACCGGAGAAAACTGAAAGAAGTCGCCCACTTGCCGGATAAACGAATGATCGGAGCCGGGAGGGTACCTGGTAGGGCTCCCCCCACCCCAGACGTACTGTGGCCATAGTTAGGGTTTCTGCATAGGTCTCTGCACCATGCACCGTGTAAGCCGCTCAGAGCCCTTCGGGGGTGAGCGGGGTACAAATTGAAAGTATAAATAAAGAAATAAATAGCCTTTTAAAAACCCAAGCAGAGAGGAGTCACAGATAAATGATAAGTATCTTGCAACTGTGGAGCCCATTTCCATAATGTTACCTTGGCGGAAACCTTACAACAGCCCTGTAAGGCCAGCTGGCATTACTGTCCCTATACTGCAGATTGGGGGAACTGAGGTTGCGAGAATGGCTTATGTAAGGTCGCTGGTGAGCTCATGGCAGACATGACTCAGCGGTTCCTCAGGCCACGGCTCCGTCCATGAAGGCAAGTTGAGCAGGGAGACAAGAGAGAAGGGAACCCCCCCCCCCATGTTGTGCTGCTATTATTTGCTCCATTCCAGGATTGCAAGCTCTGAGGGTTGTTTGAGTTTGGGAAAACAGCTCTCGTGGCCCTTCCTCCTCCCAGCACCACAGTCCCAATCAGAATTGGGCCCTGTGGCACTGGGGGAAGTTCCCTCCAGCTGCAAGATACCACGAACCAATTCATTAAAAAGTGCATTGTATAGTGAGCTGATCTCTGTTGCCTGGAGATCAGTTGTAAGAGTGGGATATCTCCAGTCATCACCTGGACGTTGGCATCCCTTTACGGTGCTGCCCATGTTGTGAGAATGCCTATCACATTTCCTCTAACAACAAAGGATCTATCAACAAATGAATGTTGTGAATTTAAATTGGTGGAGAGGGCTCTTTTTGTAGCAGGAACTCCTTTGCATATTAGGCAACACACCCCTAATGTAGCCAATCCTCCAAGAGCTTATGGAGCTCTTTCTTACAGGGGCTACTGTAAGCTCTTGGAGGATTGGCTACATTAGGGGTGTGTCGCCGAATATGCAAAGGAGTTCCCGCTACAAAAAGAGCCAGGGGCCGTGTCAAGTTCTTTCCCGTCCAGCTCCCTAACCAGAATATCCAGTGGGGGTATTAACCTTAGGAGGAGATTTTTCACAACACATCCTCCTCCTGTCTGTTCCTATCAATGGGAGATGCCAGGGACTGACTCTGGACCTTCTGCATGAAAAGCAGATGCCCTTGGAATAGCATTACACGCAGGAAATAAGAACTTCCTGGTAGACCCCGGCCTGAGAGAAGTCCGGTTGTCCTCGGGCTGGGCTTCCCCAGCCCTGGCCCCTGTCTGGTGGAACGCTCTGCTGGAAGACATCTGTGCCCTGCAGGAGTTGTTACCATTCTGCAGGGCATGAAAGCCAGAGATAATTCCCCATCCCTCGTAACCCCTCCCCCAAGGAAGCTGGGGAGCTGGAATTCCTTCCGCCATCTCATATACTGTATGTATGCTGTTTTTATTTATTGGTAATTATTGGGTTATTTTAAATTAGTTTTAACTTGAAGAAGAAGAAGAAGAGATTGGATTTGTACCTCGCCCGTCACTACCCGAAGGCGTCTCAGAGGGCCTTACAATCTCCTTCCCCTCCCCCACAACAGACACCCTGTGAGGTAGGTGGGGCTGAGAGAGCTCTGAGAGAACTGCCCTTGAGAGAACAGCTCTGAAAGAACTTGTGACTGACCCAAGGTCGCACCAGCACCTGCACGTGGAGGAGTGGGGAATCAAACCCGGTCCTCCCAGATTAGAGTCCACGTGCTACAGCACTACACCAAACTGAGATTTGTACATTATTTTGTTGAGAGCCGCCCTGAGCCCTGCTTCTAGGGAAGGGCGGCCTAGTAAATCTGATTTAATAAATAAATAAAAATAAATAACCCTGGGCCATGGCCCCTCATTCCAGATTCCAGCAATAACTGATGTTAACTCCTGCCATATCTGAAGGAAAACACACACACACATACAGGAACTCAGTTACCTTGTAAGCCTGGCGGACACCTCCATTGTCAGCAATGTTTTCTCCAAGTGTGTTGATTCCACTGACCTATGACAGAAAACACGCATTGGTTCCACACTGAAACCACATCTTCCCTGCTCCTTTCATTTACGGTGCCAGATTTTCACTCTACTGTTTCCTAGTTCTCCTCAATTCCAGTTCAGCCTTGAGACCAGGCTATGATCGAGAGCTGTACCATTCACAGTTTGTAGCTGCTTTCAGTTCATTCAGTTTGTTTGCATCTCTTTTAGGCCTCTGTGCTACAGTTGTTCAAATATGCACTAATAAAACACTGCAATAAAGCAGTCTTGATGTGACATAAGATTGCACCCAGCTTTTTGTCTGGCGTTTCACTAAGCCGTCCACGTATTCCTGGGCGGGCCCTGATAAAAACACCACACAAAAGGAATCTTTTGTTTCATTGTATGTATAATTCAAGAAGTGTTTTATTAAGGCATACGTGTGCATTGGCGACATGTATATGAATTGAAAGCAAACTGCAGGTGCACAGAGCTGTGTGCAAAATTTTGGAAATGAAAAATGGAACGATAGAAAATTCCTAATGCATCATTTGGTAATAAAGTTAGACAGCTCAGAACTGCAGATTTGGATAAGGAGAATTTCAAAAGCCTTCCAAATTATAGTTGGAATTCTTGCTCTGGAAATCACTGAAGTTTGTGCATTAATGAATTTGAATGATGAAGTCAGCATCCTAACAATTGTTACAATTAATTTCTATATTGGCCAACAGTCATTGGTGAGGATTTTGGCACGATTTACTAAATAATCAGTGTTCAATATATTAGTATTTAAATAGTCTGTATTTGATACCTAAAGAACATCACCAAACCCCAGTGGTTGGAACTGATCATTATTGCATTGAAAGAGACGACTGCTAACCACATAGTAGCCAGTTAAAGCTTTTACCACATGGTGGACTGGCATAAACAACACTTGAATAACCTACTATGCAATACCATGTAAGTTAAACACAGAGAAATGCACTCGTGCAAATAGTTGTGAGAAGGAATAGCGGTGTGATGGCTGCTGCTGACCAAAACTCAACATACACCAAAGGGCACTTAAGCATGTTGATTGCTGGAAACACACCAAAACAACAACAACAACAACCCCCATTCATGAATTAATGTGTCCCTTTGACGTGCAACTCCACTGATCGAAATTAGGCCATACCAATCAAACAGCTAAACCAATCAATCAGCTAAATCAGTTGATTAGACTAAAGCTTGCAGGTGAGCCATATTCTAGGTGAAAATGAGTGAATCTGCAAGCACAATTTCCCCTTCTCACTCCTGTATTCCACTACCCAATCAGCTTGCTGTCTGAAGAAAACTGACATACAAAATAGGACTGAATCGAAATTTTGAGCCAAAGATTTTCGTCACAGAACATTCAGTCTAGTCCATGTGTGAACCCAGGAAAGCCTTTTAACTAATATCCTTTTGGGCCCCAGTTGCCCAGCCTTTTAATCTTTTAAACTGCTACTGCAATAATATTTTGGAGTCTCTTTCGATGCTGTAATTCTATTCGGTTGTTTTTAATAATGTGTAAAAACAAAACAAGCCAGAGGTGATCCAACTCACATTCTGTCCCCCTGCCAGCTCCCACGTATAGTTCCCATACTGGTAGATCATACAGCGAGACTGATCCTTGAAATGTGTCGCAGAAAAGTTGCTCCACCAGTCAAACATGTTGCCATCTTTGTCAAAATTCCTACCTGTTTGGGTGGGCAGGGAAGAAATAAATACAAGGAACTACAGACCCTGGGGAGTCCACAGAGTGTTAGTTTTATGTGGCAATGCAGCTCAAGCATCAGGGTTGTCAGGTCTCCTGCTATGGCAAGAGACCCCCTACTAACAACCCCGTCTTCCTACCACCAATCAGAGCAGCATGGGAGAATTTTTTTTTTAAATCACCAGCATCATGCAGTGTGATATCACTTCCAAGGTAAACCCGGAAGTGACCTCAGATCATTCTAGGAATCACCAGAAAATCTATGATTTTACCACAGAGTTTCTCATAATTCCTAGAGTGACATGAAGAAGAAGAAGAGGAGGAGGAGGAGACTGGATTTATACTCCACCCTTCACTACCCAAAGAAATCTCAGAGCAGCTTACAATCTCCCTTCCCTTCCCCTCCCCACAACAGACACCCTGTGAGGGAGGTGGGGCTGAGAGAGCTCTGACAGAAACTGCTCTTTTTCAAGAACACTTCTGACAGAACTACGGCTTGCCTGAGGTCATCCAGAAGCTGCAAGTGGAGGAGTGGGGAATCAAACCTGGTTCTCCCAGATTAGAGTCCGTGCACTTAACCAAGCGCCCCTTTGGATGTGGACCAGCGCCCACAGCATGCGTCACTGTGGCTGTGTGCTGACATCGTCTGTGTGGAGACTCAGGTTCACACAAATGCCATTCCCACCCTACGCCTTCCGGGGGCGTCTGCACTAACAGAGGGAGGTCCACATTAGGGATTTTTCCTGCGCAGCGACTCATCTGCCCCTCCTTACCATTGTCATCAAACCCGTGCGTGATCTCGTGACCTATCACCATTCCGATCCCTCCAAAGTTGAGCGCCTGTGGTTGGTGCTTGCTGAAGAAAGGGGGCTGAAGGATCCCAGCAGGGAAAACTGCAAAGAAAAAGAAGAAGAAGAAGAAGAAGAAGAAGAGGAGGAGGAGGAGGAGGAGGAGGAGGAGGAGGAGATTGGATACATACCCCACCCTTCACTACCCAAAGGAGTCTCAGAGCGGCTTACAAACTCCTTTCCCTTCCCCTCCTCACAACAGACACCCTGTGAGGTGGGTGGGGCCGAGAGAGCTCTGGCAGAAACTGCTCTTTCAGGAACAGCTGTGCCAGAGCTTGTGACTGACCCAAGGTCACATCAGCAGGTGCAAGTGGAGGAGTGGGGAATCAAACCCGGTTCTCCCAGATTAGAGTCCGCACACTTAACCACTACACCAAACTGGCTCTCTGCACTCACATATACCCAAACATACCCCCCCAAAAGATAGTTATGATGAAAGTCAGGACCGTAGCCAGGATTCTGTGGCTTATGGGGCAATTTTTTTCCTGGTGGGGCTGCCATTATGTGCCATAATGAAGGGGGGTGGCATGTGCCCCTCTCCCTCCCCTCCTGCAAGATTTAAAGGGCCCTCCAGCTGATGGGCGGGCCACGTGCTCCCTGCTGATCAGCTGAAGGGCCCTTTAAATCTTGCAGAAGGGGAAGGAGAGGGGCACTTGCCACCCCCTGCTTCTTCTCAAAATCATGTAAAGGCTTTAAAGGGGGGGGCTTTAAGGAAAGGGGCAGAGCCCTCAATAGCCCCACTGTAGCTACAGGCCAGATGGAAGTCCACACTTCTCTCAAAGGTCTAGCATCGTCTTCTCTAGCTTTGGTGTTTCAGCATAAGAAATCTCATCGGAGACTTAGGGACAGCAAGCCTTGAGTTGTGGAGTTGTGGTTTTCTTCCATTCTGCAGCAGCATTGCTCCAGAATTCTCTCTCTCTCTTCTGCACTCTGCTCCTCCTGAGTGCTACTTTAACCAGGAGAATGTCTAGAATTAAGTCCAGAATTGGTTTCTGTGCTATCTGCTGCAACGTTTAATTCCTTCTAGACATCTGCATCTATTTCCCACTCCAGCTTTGTTACCAACGTACACATAAGTGCATTGACAAAACACAGCAAAAGAGCAATCTTGATGCAATTGTACATACGGACGCATCCAGATTCTTCTTCTGCAGTGTTATAGCGATGCACATGTGTTCTTCTGTGCACAGTGAAAACTGTGGGTGAGGATCAATGATATGGCATACCCAGGGGTCATTTCGTAGAAAAAGAGCTAGGGGGACTCATTAGCATAACTCATTAGCATATGCCACACCCCCTGACATCACTGGAAGTGTGTCCTCCCCACAGCCGGCGGCGACCTGCAGCGGGCACCAGCAGGGAGCTCCAGGCCCCGCCCTCCCGCACCTCACCCGGGGGGATGGCGTCCCCCCGCGCCCCCCCCCAAATGACCCCTGGGCATACCAGTCTTGATTCTGGCCACATCCAGCCTCTGTCAACATTAGGTTGATCAGTGACTCTGGTACACTAAGAGTCCTGACCTTTGCACATCTTGTAACCGCGAGCATCTTAAGGCTAGGAGTAGATAGGTAATTATTATGCTATGCAAGCATTCTAGACATTCTGCTTAAGCATCTGTTTTTCCCTGGTTTCTGTACTTGTAAGCCTCAGTCTCATCTCACGGCGGTGGTGGGGGGGCAGAATGTGTATAAAATAAACTCTCACTGCTTCAAGCAGCAGACAGATTTTCCTACCCCAAGAGATCGTGTCTCGTGTGAGTCCTTCAGAAAACACTATACAGTAAGAACTTGGATACAACAGTATTTACATCACAACTAGATTTTTTTTTTGCAGCATATAACCAAAGTGTACATGTGCATTACTAACAGGGGAGTAGAAGGGAAAATGCAAATGAACTGACAGCTACAGGCAACCTAAGTAAACACAAAATTTAAAGTAATGGCAGAGCAGCGGAGATTCCATAATGCATTGCTTCCACTTTGGAAACCAAAACTCCAAAATCCACAGAGAAATCTGGGAGAATTTTGGAAGCATCGGGTGCATCCCTGCCTGTCCCCCACCATATTTCATCACATTCCGTTGCTTTGAGCAATTTCCCCATGCTCAGCTCAGATAACAGAAGTGACCCAGTTTAGAAGAAAAATGCTTCAACATAAGTAAAGCCTGTGAATTAAGGCAGGGAAAGCACCACTCCAACAAGCATTCAGCTTCTTTTTATTTTAAATATGTGCATGTGTGTATGTGCGTGCATGTGAGTTTGTACGCACCTGGAAGTCATGGTGACCTCTGGTGACCAATGCTCCCTCTAAGCTGTGGAGCCTTGTGAGCAAAAATTCTACTTTGTGAGCTACTAGCATTAAAGCTGTGAGCCAGCGATTTGGCTGCTGCATAAGTTAGTTTGCTCTGAGCTGAGACGAAAATGTGTGAGCCGGAGGCTAAAAAACTGTGAGCTAGCTCACACTAACTCAGCTTAGAGGGAACACTGCAGGTGACTGACCCCTACTGGGGGCCTGGAGGATATTCAGAGAGGGGGCTGAACAAAGCCTATTCCGGCCTCCTGACTGTTGGTATTCCAAGGAGGTCTCCCATCCAAGGACTTGCCAGAGTCGACCCTGCTTAGCTTCCAAGTTCTGACAAGATCCGGCTTGCCGGAGCTATCCAGGTCCCGTCAAGCATTCTGCTCTTGTTTATTATTATTTTTTAAAAATAGAAGATTAATTTACCAATCTGGTTCCGGTTGGGGGAGTAGAACGCATTGACGACAGCAGCGCCAATCAGCCATCTACAACACAAAGAGAGAAGCATCAATATGTCAATCGAGAAGCAACATGTGACCCGATAGCTGGATGCCTAAGGGAGAGGCCCAGTTCACAGAACACTTCACGGGAAAGAAGAAAGTGGAATTGCTGAGATGCAGAAGCTCCTTTTCAAATTAGGCCCAACTCAATAAATAGGATTTGCAACCTCCAGGGGGCACCTGGAGATTTCCTAGAATTGGAACGGATTTCCAGGCGGCAGAGATCAGTTCCCCTGGAGAAAATGGCTGCTTTGGAAAGGCGGATTCTATGGCACGATACCCCGCTGAGGTCCCGCCCCTCCTCAAACCACTCTCTCCCCAGGCCGTAGCCCCCAAATCTCCAGGTATTCCCCAGCTGGCAACCCTGATTTTGCATAAAGGTGATGTAAAACTGGGAAAGGCAGGTTGGACCACCAAAGGTAAGAGATACGGCATTGTTGCCCTGTTTAAACACAGGTTTGGGACTCCATGGAGCTGCGGTGGGAAGGGACCACTTCGGTGGGAAGGGAACAGCGGTCCATGCGCCTTGGTGTTTAGTCATGCTGGCCACATGACCACGGAAACGTCTTTGGACAGCGCTGGCTCTTCGGCTTTGAAACGGAGATGAGCACCGCAACCCTAGAGTCGGATTCGACTGGCTTTCGAACCTTTACCTTTGGGACTCCATGCTGGCCTAGATCGCATGCGCTTCCAGTTAAAGATGCCCTGCAGTCTGAACACTCACACGTCTTGGTCGACTCTCTCTCTCAGCTTTCTCAAGCTTTTCTGCGCCCCGGCTTGGAGGTTTGCCAGGATGTTCTCGAAGTACTCGTGTTCGCTGAAAGTCAGCTGGAGAGAAACAAACAGGTCTGAAGACGGGTGGTGCTTTCTGACCCAGCTGCTGTAGAAAGGTTCGCCCCGTAAACAAGAGAAAGCAAAGGCACTGGAAGGCCTCCAGGTGGCACCTGGAGATCTCCCGCTATTACAATTGATCTTCAGATGGCAAAGATCAGTTCTGCTGGCAGAAACAGATGCTTTGGAGGGGGCACTGTATGGCATTAAAGCCCATATAGGTTCCCCCGCCCCCCGGCTGTACCCCAAAAATCTCCAGGTATCCCAGAGCTGGCAATCCTTGGGTACATGAGTACTTGCATTGGAAAGAGGGTATACCAGTAACTGCATATAGACAAATACAACAGGGGGGCATGGAAGGGCTTTAAGAGGAGCCAGTTTGATGTAGTGGTTAGGAGCTGCAGGCTCTAATCTGGGAGAACCAGGTTTGATTCCCCACTCCTCCTCCATATGCAGCTGCTGGTGTGACCTTGGGTGAGTCATAAGCTCTTTCAGAGCTGTTTTCTCAATGGCAGTTCTTGAAAGAGCTCTCTCAGCCCCACCTACCTCACAGGGTGTCTGTTGTGGGGAGGGGAAGGGAAAGGGATTGTAAGCCACTCTGAGACCTCTTCGGGTAGTGAAGGACGGGGTATAAATCCAATCTCCTCCTCCTCCTCCTGTGGCTGGCCCCTGCTTTCACCTGGACTCTGGTGTTGCTTTCTCTTTCCCCCTCCTGCTGCCTCCAGCTCCGCTTCTCGCCCCCCTTTCTCTGGCTTCATTTCCTCTCCCTCACCTGCTCCTCTCGGTTATGGTGACTCCTGCTGCAAATCTGGGTTCCATTTGGGGTTGCCATGAGAACCAAATATGCTACTTAGACCTTTTTTTTTTTTTTTGCTTTGCCTGTTCATGTACAGACATCACTCTCAACTTTGGGTTTTCTTTTTAACTCCTTCCCTTTTTTTCAAATCAGATTTTTCCAACAGTCTCAGTCCCCCCTCCTCAGGTGTGAAGGTCCCTATACTCTAGCCTAAGGGGCCACAGTGGCTCAGAGGTTAAGACGCTGAGCTGCAGACCGGAAGGTCTGTAGTTCGGCAGTTCAGGAGCTGGGTGCCGCATGACGGAGTGAGCTCCCGTAATCTGGCCCCAGCTCCTGCCAGCCTAGCAATTTGAAAGCAAGAAAATGCAAGTAGATAAATAGGTACCACTTTGATGGGAAGGTAACAGTGTTCCGTGCGCCTCGGCATTTAGTCATGCCCAGGGGTCATTTCATAGAAAAAGAGGTGCAGGAGCTCATTAGCATAACTCATTAGCATAACTTATTTGCATATGCCACACCCCCTGACATCAGCAGAAGTGTGTCAGAAGGGAACACCCACCGCTCAGGCTCCACTGGGCTATTTTGGATTGCTAGCTATTGGGGGGGGGGGAACGTGCAGATCTGTCCTCGCAGAGGAGGGAGACCTTGTACCTGAAGGTGGGGGGGGGCACTGCAACTTACCTGGCTGCTTCTTGCTCTGACTGAGGGCTTCTGGGAGCAGGGGGTGGGGCTTGTTGCATGTGCCTGCCCCCTGGGCTCCTTACTACCGGAGCTCCACTCCGGTGCGCTCCCACAGGAAATGACCCCTGGTCATGCCGGCCACATGACCACGGAGAAATCTTCGGACAGCGCTGACTCGTCGGCTTGGAAACGGGGATGAGCACCACCCCCTAGAGTCAGATTTACTAGCTTTCGAGTGAGGGAAACCTTTACCTTTAATATACTCTAGCCTTTTTTATATGTTCTTTTAGACAGATCACTTATGTCATGGTGTATAGTGCCGTCAAGTCACAGCTGACTCAAGGCAAGAGAGGGACAGGTTTGCCCTTCCCTGCCTCTGCAGAGCAGCCCTGGACTTCCTTGGTTGTCTCCCATCCAAATACTAACCAGGGCCAAGCCTGCTTAGCTTCCAAGATCTGGTGAGACCAGGCCCTCCAGGTCAGGGACCAGAGGTCATTTCGGGGGGATCGCGGGGGATCGCCGTTCCCCTGGGTGAGGTATGGGGGCGGGGCATGTGACGAAGCCCCGCCCCCCGCTTCCAGCCGCCCTGCTTCCGGCCCTCATTCAGCCAGGAGGAGGCAGGAGAAGAGGGAGGGTAAGTTGCTTCCTCCCTGCCTCTCCCCACCCCTGCCTGCCTGGGGCCAGGGAGGGCCTTCGCGGGGCTTCCTTGCACTCCCGCCGGCCTTGCAGGTCCACCGCCGGACCCCTCATGGGGCTCGGCAGTGGAGCTGCAAGGCCGGCGGTGGCGGCCGGGACCGTTGGGGGCAGGGTGTGTGGCCTTATGAGACACTTCCGGTGATGTCAGGGTGTGTGGCCTTATGAGACACTTCCGGTGATGTCAGGGTGTGTGGCCTTATGAGACACTTCCGGTGATGTCAGGGTGTGTGGCCTTATGAGACACTTCCGGTGATGTCAGGGGGTGTGGCATATGCTAATGAGTTATGCTAATGAGTTCCCCTAGCTCTTTTTCTACGAAACGACCCCTGTCAGGGACATCTACTGACGTCAATGATTACACTTAAGGAAGTTGATCAAATGGATCAAAATGGATTGCTCCCCAAATTTGTGTCTGAAGATTCTTAACCAGTGGAGTTCAGAATCAATAGAGGAGACCCAGATGGAACTCAGTGAGAGGCCATCGCTGACCCTGAGCTATGTGGCTGTGAGGACCAGTGAGAACTGTAAAGCACTCTGTCCACTGAGAAGTGTTGGAGAAGTGATTGAGGTATAATATTTTACAACATGACAGTTTGGGGAGAAGGGAAATGGCTGCATCCTGTGACAGGCTTCAAACTTACATTTGTATATTCCTGGTCCAGCTTTTCATTCTGATCTTCTAGAATATAATCTGGATAGCCTATTTGCTCTTTAATTGCAGTGGCCTGTGAGAAAAATGCAAAAGTTCTTCACTTCCTGTATTTCCCCCATGATCAAGAAACCACATATTCTTTTGATTTGTTTTACCCTCTTTGATCCAGGGGGGGAATCTGAGCCGGGGGGCGGGGGTGTGATGTCACAGAATTTTGGATGGGAACAATATCCATTTATCCATTTATTCCATTCTTTTTGTGAACACAGATATATGTTCCTGGCTACCACAAGCAATCCCCTGCCTGGCTGATACAGATGCAGAAAGAGGCTACACATTTCCCACAGCACGACACTGTGTCCTGTCTGAGAGTTTGCTTGCTAAGTGCTTCAAGAGGCCCTCTTTTGCAAGAGCAACTTGTCACAAGATTTGACTGCTAAAATGTTAAGACGTATAATTTTCAGATGTTCCTGGGCATTAAAACCAATTTAGTACCCTTAATAATCTGGGGCCACAATTTGAATCATGCATCCTGGGGAAAAGCTGTGCAAATGTCCTGTTCAAAATACATCAAGTCATCAATCTGCATTACACACCGTAGGTACCCAATTTCGACAAAGTCATCTGGATAGACTCCCAACACCCCCTTGCTTGAATCATTCAGTGGGACTCAGACCATCTTTGTATCTACGATAAAAGGCCGATCTGTCTTTTTAGTTCGATGAAAAAAGAAAGCTCAGTCTTGTTGAGGTCTCATTCCTGATACTTGGTCTTAGGCGGGTTCATTTGTCTCTGACCTTTTCTTGGGCTTTCGCTTTTGATGTTTCATCCATCCACTGCAGTTCATCCAGCGTCTCAATAAACACTTCGCGGATCTTGTCAATGAGGTCTCGGACCTTAAATAAAGATAGATGGGGAGGTAGCTTTTTTGTGCTGTGCCCAATAACGAAATGGCATGCTGCAAATGAAGATCAATCGGATGCAGGGGAAGCTAGTGAGAGGCATGTAAGAGAGGCATGGAATGTTCTTAATAAGGTTGTTAGCCCCATCCTAGCTAAAGATATCCTAGACAGAAGCCAGTTCATGGCATTCTATCACCCTCGCATGTTTCTGAAAATCAGACTCATGGGACTCTTTCTATAGCAGGCTTAATTGTCAATAGTTGGAATCAGTAGGGAAAAACAATAGCTTTGGTCTCTGCCTCGATACTTTCCACTGCATGTAGGGCAAAAGCAAAACATTCCACCTTAGACATGGAGAGGTCAGCAGTAGAAAAGAGCAGAGGTCATTTCGGGGGGGAACGCGGGGGATCGCAGTTCCCCCCGGGTGAGGTGCGGGGGGCGGGGCACATGACGAAGCCCCGCCCCCTGCTTCTGGCCACCCCACTTCCGGCCCTCATTCAGCCAGGAGGAGGCAGGAGAAGAGGGAGGGTAAGTTGCTTCCCCCCCGCCTCTCCCCACCCCTGCCTGCCTGGGGCCAGGGAGGGCCTTCGCGGGGCTTCCTTGCACTCCCGCTCGGCAGTGGAGCTGTAAGGCCGGTGGCGGCGGCCGGGACCGTTGGGGGCAGAGTGTGTGGCCTTATGACACACTTCCGGTGATGTCAGGGGGTGTGGAATATACTAATGAGTTATGCTAATGAGTTCCCCTAGATCTTTTTCTACGAAACGACCCCTGGAAAAGAGTAAGAGTCCAGGAGCACCTTAAAGTAAAGGTAAAGGTTCCCTTGCTTGAAAGACAGTCGAATCCGACTCTAGGGTTGCGGTGCTCATCTCCGTTTCAAAGCCGAAGAGCCAGCGCTGTCCAAAGACGTTTCCGTGGTCATGTGTCTGGCATGAGTAAACACTAAGGTGCACGGAACGCTGCTACCTTCCCACCGAAGTGGTACCTATTTATCTACTTGCAATTTCTTGCTTTTATTTATTTATATTTATTTATAGGTTTAATTTATACCCCGCCCTCCCCGCAACGTTGAACTGCTAGGTTGGCAGGAGCTGGAACTAGAGACAGGAGCTCACTCTGTCATGCGGCACCCGGGTCTCGAACTGCTGAACTACTGACCTTCCACAGCCTGCAGTTCAACGTCCTAACCACTTGAGCCACCACAGCTCCTTAGGAGCACCTTAAAGACTAACAATATTTGTGGTAAGGTTTGAGCTTTTCTGAGTCACTGCTCACTTTTTCAGCGGTGACTCACATAGAATCATAGAGAGTCGGAAGGGGCCAGACAGGCCACCTAGTCCAACCCCCTCTGCTCAGTGCGGGATCAGCCTAGAGCAGGGGTGGCCAAACTGTGACTCGGGAGCCGCATGCGGCTCTTTCACACCTAATGCGTGGCTCCCGGCAGGGCAGCTGGGGAAGCTAAATATCATTAGCAAACAAATATCATTGGACAAATAAATATCTTTCTCAATATCTGCTTTTACTGCTTTTGTTATTATTTTTGGCAGTCTCGTTTAATGTCAATAAAAAGCAAATTTGCATATTTACCAGTAAAAACGTGTAATATTTGTTCATGTCTTGCGGCTCTCAAACATTTGGTGTTTGTGAAATGTAAATTTAAGAAAGAACCTGAAATATTACTTTTGGGACTTAAAATGGAAGAAGTCAACATGGCGAAAAGGACTTTGATGTGGTACATGATTACAATTGCTAGAATGACATATGCTCAATGCTGGAAGCAAGACAGAACTCCCAAAATTGGGGAGTGGATAAAGAAATTACTTTTTATGGCGGAAATGGACAAAATGGCAAGAAAGCTTAGAAATCTGGAAGCAGAAGAATTTTTCGCAGACTGGATAGACTTTAAAGAATATTTAGAGAAATATTGGGATGTAAAGAACAACTTAATTTGCTTTGATAACTATTGAAAAAAGAATGATATTAGAAGAAGGATAAATGTCTAAGAATAATAGTTGAAAGATATGTTACCTGTAGAATGTGATTAACGAGTAAGGGGGAAAAGGAGAGAATTTAAGAAGTGGGCTGGAGGTTGGAGCACTGGGAAGTCAAAAGGGGTGGGGAAATAGGAGAAAAGGATGTATTTGGCCACCCCTGGCCTGGAGCATCCCTGACAAGTGTTTGTCCAGCCGCTGCTTGAAGACGGCCAGAGAGGGGGAGCTCACCACCTCCCCAGGCAGCCGATTCCACTATTGCACAACTCTGACTGTCAAAAAGTTTTCCCCAATACCTTGTAATTCAATTATTCCATTCGATGTATGGTGCTCTCAGGCAACTCACTAGTTTTGAATTTTATAGAAACACTCTTCACCGATTAGACGCAATGACCCACATACTCTCAATGCCCTCAGTTCATTGTTCTAACATAGATATACCCTCTTCAATGTAAGCTATTATTAATTGTCAACTTCAATGCATACTGTTTTTGCACGTGAAAATTAAATAAAGTGTTTAAAAAATAATAATAATAAAAAAGTTTCCCCCAATATCCAGCTGGAACCTTCCCACCCTTAATTTAAACCCATTATTGTGAGTCCTATCCTGGTTTCCATTTGGGGAACCTACCCTACTCCTCCCCTGCCACAAATTTTGTTCGTCTTTAAGGTGCTTCTGGACTCTTACTCTTTCCTACTGCTACGGAGAGGTCAGCGCTGGAGCATTTGCTTTGCATCTGAAAGATCCCCAGTTCAACTGTAATCTACTGGGGGAAAGGACTTTAGGCACCAGGCAGAGCTGAGCTAGATGTGCCAGTGGTCCAACTCAGTTTCAGTCAACTTGGGGAAGGAACGTGCCCCAGTAAAACACTGTCCCCATTGTTGTCTCCACTGTCTCTTTAGGGAACGTATTTCAGATGTTTTTAAAAATGTCAGTATGAGAAGTGTACATAGACACTCAGGTGTGGGTTTTTTCCCCCCAGCCCTCCAGTCCATTTAAGCAGTGACACCAGGGAAACTGAACCTGCAGACTTCTCCATGGAAGACACACACTTTACCACTAAGCCACAACTCCCTCTCTGTTCCCTGTGCTGACAACAGGCATTTCTCATAGCAGATCTGCATGTTGGTGAATCTTCTGTTCACTAATAATCTGTCAAACAATATGCATACATACGAACACATAGAATAATAGAGTTGGAAGGGGCAATACAGACCATCTAGTCCAACCTCCTGCCCAATGCAGGACCATCCTAAAGCATCTCTGACCAATATTCGTCCATCCCCTTCTTGAAAGCTGCCAGTGAAGGGGAGCTAACCACCTCCCTAGGCAGCTGATTCCACCTTTGAACCATTCTGACCGTGAAAAGGTTTTTCCTAATATCCAACTGATAACTTTCTGCATCTAATTTAAACCTGATGCTTCTTGTCCTATCCTCTGCCGCCAACTGGAACAGCTCCTTGCCCTCCTCCAAATGACAGCCTTCCAAATATTTAAGGAGAGCAATCATGCCCCCCCTCAATCTCCTCTTCTCCACACTAAACATTCCCAAGCCCTTTAGCCTTTCCTCGTATGCCTTATACTGAATAAGCCCATGAAGAGAGGGGAAGAGGAACTAAACCAACCAAACAAAAACCTCTAGAGGAAGTTTAGAAAACTAGTAAATGGCCGAAAGTTAAAAACATCAATAGGTATAGGCAAAGGTACACGTGTTGATTTCAAAGACGTATAAAAACCTTGTAGGGGCCCAAGTAAAGCCTCATAAAGTAATCAAAGTGACAAATGCACAAAGAGAACTATGTATGACCTGACCTGACATGTAACAGGGGCTTTGTTGTATGTTGTGTTCTGTACTATTTGACCTCTGAAGAAGGCTCTTGTGGGCCGTAACGTGCCAGGTCATACATGGTTCTCTTTGTGCATTTGTCACTTTGATTACTTTATGAGGCTTTACTTGGCCCCCTACAAGGTTTTTACACGTTTTTTAAATCAACACGTGTACTTTTGTCTATGCCTATTGATGTTTTTAATTTTTGTCCCTGTACTTGTTTTCTAAACTTCCTGTGGAGGTTTATACTCGGGGCTTTTTTTTTTTTTTGGAAACAGAGGTGCCAGAACTCTCAAGAGGGGAATGAAGTTTTCAATCTGTATACTGAAAACTCATAAACTTTTAAACATTTTAAAAAGTATTTTGTCAAAAAGGTTCCGGAACTCCGTTCCGGTGCGTTCCGCCAGAAAAAAGCCCTGTTTATACTAAATCAGACCATTAGTCCATCAAGGCCAGTATCGTCTACTCAGACTGGCAGCGGCTCTCCATAGGGTCGCCAGCTCTGGGTTGGGATAGGCCTGCAGATTTGGGGGTGGAGCCTGTTGAGGGCGGGGTTTGGGGAGGTTAGGGACTTCAATGGGTTATCATGCCATAGAGTCCACCTTCCAAAGCAGCCATTTTCTCCAGGGGAACTGATCTCTGTCGCCTGGAGATCAGTTGTAACCCCAGGAGATCTCCAGCTACCAACTGGAGGTTGGCAACCCTAGCTCTCCAGGGTCTTTCACCTACCACCAGATTAGGCTTCCCAAGTCCCCCCGGGGGGGGGCGGGGAAACCCCCACCCCAAAGGCCTGTTCCCTGCCACCGTCGGATTGGGCCCCGAGGGGAACTCCTCCCCGATGTGCGCGTCACCCGGAAGTGACGCGACCATGCCGGGCACGCTGGGGGCAGGGCCACAACCATCTGAGGGAAAAACTCTATGGTTTTCCCTTGTATGGCTGTGGCCCCGCCCCCAGTGTGCCTGGCGTCATCATGTCACTTCCAGACGCCGGCCGGGAGCCCCCCGCTCCCGGCGAAAATCCACTTGGCAAAACCCTACACCAGATCCTCTGACTAGAGATGCCAGAGACTAAAACTGGGACCTTCTGCATGCCAAGCAGATGCTCTACCACTGAGCCACGATCTCTCTCCATATATCATGTATACTTTTGGGGGGGCATTGTTTCTAATTCTTGTAATCCTAGTCCCATTGCATTCTTTATTGCGATGGCCTATGCTGTTCAATCATATTGTTTTATATGGTGTGGCATGTCTTGGGTCTCAGTGAGAAAGGCGGGCTATAAATAAAACAAATAAGTCCTTAAATAAATCCAGTTCCGCTGCCTTAGAGGAAAAATATCAGAAATAAAAAAACCAGACCCTTAAGAGTCTTTGCTGAAATACATGGAGAGAAATATCTAGGCTCGAGAACCAAAAAGGTTTACAAACCAAGTACAGGGTCAATTACTAAAACCAATATTATAACCTAAGTAATATAAAAAAATGCACGTGTTTATTGTCAAAGGGTTAAAAACAGGAATGAGCCCAGCTGTAGCCTCACTACAGAATAAGAATACAATATACAGAAGTGGGAACTATTGCGAATCGGCCCATTTCGGCCCTCAGTGGTCAAGCAATATTTGTACATAAAGGCTGATGATACAATAATAAAACACTTTACGATTTGATGTAGGATCAAAAAAAGAGTTTTATAATACAGATCAATTCACACAAGGCACGAGAATGTTTGGGAGGCCTCCTAGAATCTAGCCTTGTGCCCTAGTAAGATGCATACATGCCGAGTAATATTGCTATCGTATGCCTTCTGATTTTGGTCCAGGAAATACATATGCAAACAACTGATCAGAGCCCATGTACCATAAATAATATAAATACATATGAGCATACAAATTATTTTTAGTAATTGCCCCTATGCTTGGTTTGTAACTAACTTTTTTGGTTCTTGATTCAATTTGGGGGGGGGCTTATCCCCCCCTTCTTTCCTTTCTCTTTCAGAAATATCTGGCTACCTGGAACAGAAATGCTGGGGAAGCGAAGGGCAAATAAGGGAGGGGAAAAGAACATACCATTCTTTTGCTCTTTCCAGCGAAAGTCTCCTTAACGTAAAGTGCTCCGACGGCAGTTTCCATGTTGGTGTTGACATAGCTCACGCACTCGCGCCACCGGGCTTCCTCCACCATGGTACCATAAAGTGCCTTGGAGAAAAAGGTTTGATCACTTCTGCTGTCATTCAGACTAGAAAGACAGAGGGGGGTGCAGTATGATATGAATACAAACAAAATAGAGCTACTGCAAACTGTGCATATTTCAAACTTGTATTAAATGCAATAACAATATATCAAAACTATGTTTTACAGAAAACTGAAGCCAGTGATGGATGGATGTTGACGAACTCCCCCGGAGTTGATATTCGTTTCGAGGCGTCTTTTTCAAACATCAAACCTCATGCAAGTGTGTCTCCACACGGTCTCCACAAGGTCACAAGTCTTCCAAATTGGATTTCTCCTTAATTCCTGTACATTTTGGTGTTATTCATAAGATCGGCCCGCATTTGATATTGTGATTGAGAACATCTTATGATGACTTGTGACCTTGTGGAGACACACTTGCATGAGGTTTGGTGTTTGAAAAAGACGCCTCGAAACGAATATCAACTCCGGGGGAGTTCGTCATCCATCCATCATCATTTATAAACATTGGCTTCAGTTTTCTGTAAAACATAGTTTGATATATTGTTATTGCATTTAATACAAGTTTGAAATACGCACAGTTTGCAGCAGCTCTATTCTGTTTGTAGTCATTCAGACTAGGACAGGCCCCCTCCTTACTGAACCCAGTCAGTCAGTCAATCTTTATTGCATTAGCAACAAAATGCCATAGCAACTAAAAGTAACAGTAAAAAAAACCCCACTCAACAAAAGACAAACCAATAAAGGTACATTGCATAACATCAATAAAACTACATATCACAATACGGTTAAAACAATAATATCAGTATTGACTTATAAGAAATTTAAAATTATCTAATGACAATCATAAAATAACAGCACCCCAAAGAGTCAAGTAAGAGAAGATCAATATAACTCAGTGCTCATCTTTTCTTTTTTCCCCCCAGAATAGCAGCAACAAATCTTGCCACTTGGAAAGTAATAAATTTATCTCTATCTGACAGTAGGAATACTAATTTCTCATGATCTGACCTACCAAGAAGGGAAGATGTAATTGTACGCAGGAACCTATTTCGTTCATTCCCATATTTTACACAATGAAATATGACATGGAAGAGATTTTCAATAGAAGTTTGATCACAAGAACAAACTCTTTTCCCAAATGGTATTCTTTTAAAATGATCTTCAATGGCCAGTAGTGGTAACATATCAACGCGTGCTCTAGTAAAAGCCTTTCTATATTTAGGATTACTTAGATTAACAAAATTCAAAGACAATATCCAAGGTGGGTGAAATAGCTGTTTATAAATCCCAGAGATTTTCAAGTCACCTATCATACCCATATCAGCTTGCACCCACTGATCTAACAGTTTTTGCCTGATAAGAGACATAGCAGTATGAAATCCAAGAGATCTTAAATAGTCGACTGATTGGCCACTATCCTCAGAACAAAACCACACCAAGACCTATCCTTCATTTCCCCAGTGAGGAATGTTACCTTCCTGTAGTTTGCCCGGGCATCTTTGAAACGCCGGCTCAAGCCGCTGACCCTGTCAAGAACCAGTCGCCAAACCAAGTAGTTCTGGATAGTGCTGGGTGCGAAAGCAGAGAAGAAATCGGCAACTTGAAAAGGGTGTGTAAAGTTTAATCCTAATGGGAGACTGCATGCATTAGCGAATCGGCTGCTATCACCGAGTGAAGTTTCAGTTGCAAAAATTACAAAGCCCTGTAACTGGATAACCAAAACGTCTCAACTGAAACGGGCGACACAGGAAGAGTCAGAATTAGAGATGCCACAAATATCTATGATTATTCTTTTTCCAAAGTCTTTCTTGAGATTCCTCTGATGGGAACCTTCACATTCAGAGGCACTAAACCTCTGAATCCCAGAGCCAGGAGGCAGCATCAGGGGAAGGCCTCGGCCTCTATGCCCTGTTGTTGGCCTTCTAGAGGAACTGCTTGGCGACTACGTGAGACAGGATGCTGGACTAGATGGACCCCTGGTCTGATCCAGAAGAGCTCTTCTGATGTTCCTACGAAGGCCTTGGCCTCTACGCCCTGTTGTCGGCCCTCCAGAGGAACTACTTTGCCATTGTGTGAGACAGGAGGCTGGACTAGATGGACCACTGGTCTGATCCAGCAGGGCTCTTCTGCCTAAAATTAATCTCTAGAGACAGTCTTGAATACCTGCTGGCTTTTGGTTTGTTATTTCTCAGCCCTACTCAGACCCACAGGGCCATCCTAAGCAGAGTTACAGCTTTCTAAGCCCTCTGACGTCAACAAGCATAGAAGGATGCACAGTGTTCTCAATGACTCCAAAATCCCCAAGTTGTTTTTGCTTCCCCTCTGGGTAAATTGGACCCATGAAACTTTTATTGTTACGTCATTTCCTGATTCCTCTGCATAGGATTGCACTCTTAATCTACAGAGAATTTCCCAAATTGCCACCTTAAGCTTGTAGATGGGACTTCACTCTAGCCTTTTATTACAATCGTAGCAGCAATTTGGGATTTTTTTACTGCTGGGTCAGCTTGGTGCCTTTTGTTGGTTCTCTTTCCCCCACTTGGATCAAAAACCCTCTTGGGATTGCTACCTGGCTGAATAACTGGAGATGATAGCTTTTAGTTCCTGGAGATATGGCACTCCATGCACAACCACCTCCTCATCAGAGCCGATCTCAATGTTCACTGAAGCCATGACACCTTGGATAAAAAGGGTCCAGTTAAACCCCTAGAAGAGAGAGACAAACACCAGCAAGCCTTTAATCTAGGAAGACCTGTGGAAACACCATTTTCATCCATCTACAGTCCTCTTCATCCCCAATACCTGAGAGCCAGTTTGGAGTAGTGGTTAAGTGGTTAATCTGGGAGAACCGGATTTGATTCCCCACTCCTCCCCTTGCAGCTGCTGGATGACCCTGGGCAAGCCATAGTTCTGTCAGAGCTGTTCTCTCAAGGACAGTTCTGGAAAGAGCTCTCTCAGTCCCACCTACCTCACAGGGTGTCTGTTGTGGGGAGGGGAAGGGAAAGGAGTTTGTGAGCCGCTCTGAGTGAAGGGCGGGGTATAAATCCAATCTCTTCTTGTACTTCTTCTTCTTCTTCTAGAATGCTTTCTCAGTATATTAGCTAAGCTGCTTTATACTGAATCAGAGCATTAGTCTATTAAGGTCTACCCTGATCAGCAGGTACTGCTAAAGTCATAGGATGAGGCCTTTCACATCATCAACTACCTGATCCTTTTAACTGGAGATGCCAGGACTTGAACTTTGGGACCTTCTTAGTGCGAAAGCAGATTCTCTACCCCTGAGCCACAGTCCCTCTGAAATAATATATACATATGAAGCTGCTTTATACAGAGTCAGACCACTGCTCCATCAAAGTCAGAACTGTTGTCTCTAACAGCCACCACCTCCTTCCTGGTCCTTTTCCCTGGAGATGCCAGGAATTGGACCGGGGACCTTCTGCATGCCAAGCAGATGCTCAGCCACTGAACTACAGCCCCAGAAGGTGCTATAAGGCCTGTGAGCAGCGCTACAGTGAATAGATTGGGCTGAACTAGCTAACCAAGGGCTGGGCGCACGTCAGAAGGGCTGAGATCAGCCTCTGCCGGAATGAGGAAGGCAGGAGTGCAGCAAGTAGCAGGAAGCTTTCCAAGTATGAAACAAATGCTATGATGGACGTCTCCACACTACCCATTGTGAAGAGTCACAGTCATGGATTCATGCTGAAAATTTCACATGGACTTTGGGGGAGGGACTGCAGCTCAATATTAGTGCATGTTAGTCCCATACTCTATCACTGGTCTCCCATTAAGAGTGTCTCAAGTAGCTAGAATGAGAATGACTACTGCCCAAGAACTTGGCGAGCCACAGACAAACAGAGGAGATAGTCTGGGGGCTTTTCCGTATTTTCATTTTCCTCTTGTGTGTTCCTGCTCCCTCTAGTGGTCAATTCTATATTACAGCACTTTATATCCGGCATAAAAACCTGTACTTTAAATCTGCAGGGAGATATGCCTGACATAAAGCGATGTGATATAAAATCGGCCACTAGAGGGAGCAATACACATGCAGAATAGGAAAAAACCAACAACCCCAACACAACAGAAACACATAAGAGAGGAAAATGAGAATTCGGAAAAGCCCACAGACGGAACAAATCTAGAAAAAGCTTGAAACTCAGGAGCACTGCCAATCATATTTATAATACGATCTTCTTCACTTAAAAAAAGGCCCTATATAAGGCAGACAGTTCTAAGATTAGATGGACAAATACCCTGACTCAGCATAAGCATCTGCAGCTGTTCCTATGGTGTTCATTTGGATTATGTTTTCCTTTTGCAGGAACCTTTCAGAGGTACAGGGTCACCAGTATTCAAGTCCAGGAGCACCATAAAGACCAATAAGCTTTCCAAGGTAGAAGCTTTCGAGAGTCAAAACTTCCTTCGTCAGTCTGAGTTTATTCCCTGGAAATCTTGGTCTTTTTAAGGCCCAGTCTGCATCTAGCATTTGCTCCGCTGTTTTACCAAACCCACGCTCAGGGCTGGCTCACTCACTAGGCGAACTAGGCGATCGCCTAGAGCAGGCTGGCCCTTAGGGGCGCCAAACTGCACCCGGCCCAGTACTCTGGGAGTTTCTTGATTATTTCTGTTTTTCATTCTTCCTAAAATGCATTTATTTTTGAAAAATGGTGGGTGCACGGGGGGGGGGCAGAAGGGATCCTCGCCTAGGGGGCAAAAAAAGGCCACACTGGAACAGAAACTCCCCTCTGCATTGCATGCCACTTTCACTTTGATAGATTGTTGGATTCTGTGGCATTGTTCAGACTGCAATGCCGCTTCCACTTCGTTGGATCTCTCGGTTTCATGGTAGCCGTCTGCATAGATTTATGGATGTTCTATGGCCATTCAGGGGCGACTCTACAATCAGTACAGCGTTGTCCTGGGGTATTTAGATGTGTTTTTGAGCCGCCTCTTTTTCTGTTCCAGTGTGGGTTTGGTAAAACAGTGGAGCAAATGCAAGATACAGATTGGGCCTGTGTTGCTAACAGACTTGAATCTGGTTCTTTCACTGCAGACCGTGATGGCTGCCCACCTGAAACTTGCTCCCCTATGTGCTGCCAGGCTCGATGCGAAGTACTAGCGCTGACCTTTAAAACCACAAATAGCTTGAGAGCCAAGCACCCGAAGATCCAACTTCGCCCACATCAACTTGCCCAGGATTTAAGATCTGCTGGCAGCACACGTCTCCCTCAAAGAGCATCTTGTGTCAGGGAATTCTCCTTCTGCCAGAAGAAAACAGATCCACGGGATCCAACCCAAGATTTTTTAAAAAATTTCTGCTTCTGTGATATTCATAGCTGGTGCGAACAAGTTCATTTTGAAATGAAATGCTGCTACTTCAGATAGATTCTATTTTGCGGTTCCAGGTGTGCTGTTATAATAGCTGTTGTTTATATTTTTCACGGCTGGGGACCGTAAACTGTTTTTGTGCTATTATTTTATTTTGTTGGGTTTTTAAACTGCCTTGGGTGTTTCACTCGGAAAGTGAAAGACAGGGGGTCTCTGAAAACAATAAAGGGACTGAACTGAATGCTGAGCCGAAAGAGGTCCCAAGTGAGACACAGGAAAGAGGAGGCTTTCATTTGATCGTGGGACAGACGTGGCTTCCTGCCCTCCACAATCTACTCCTACCGACTTCAGTGCTTATAACCATTAATGATAAAAACAGAAAATGCTTGGAAGCTGCACTGTTAGAATCGAGGGGGGCAGAATGGAAAACAGCCTTAAATTCTTACATTCAGCTCAAACCTTTCCTGGAGTTCGGCAACTGTCATTTTGTTGTAAAGCAAAGTTACATCATGCCTTTCTTCTGCTGGAACCGTAGCCTAGAAAAGAAAGGAAGGAGTTGCCAGCAAGCTTTGGCTAATATGAAAATCCAGGGAGTTAGAGCCCCTCAACTTGGAGGAGACATCTGCGAGCTTCGAGAGAAGCGAAGTTGATTGTCAAGAAGACAATCACAATTTCTCAGAAGGGTTCTTTTTGAATATCCCCAGTGAAGAAGAAAATTACTTTTGAGAGTTTGAGCCCAGAATACTTAAGAGACTGTGTACTCCTGTATGAATCTAACCTGCACACGGAGATCATTATTGGTAAAAATGGATGGCCATGCCCAGTGTTCCCTCTAAGCTGAGTTAGTGTGAGCTAGCTCACAGTTTTTTAGCCTCCGGCTCACATATCTTTGTCTTAGCTCAGGAAGGATGTCTCCAGAGCAAACTAATTTATGCAGTAGCCAGATCGCTTGCTCACAACTTTAATGCCAGTCGCTCGCAAAGTAGAATTCTTGCTCACAAGATTCCACAGCTTAGAGGGAACATTGGGGTTTGTGTGTGGTGTTGCCAAGAATGGTTTCTCAATCCATTTGTGTTGGTGATGTCAAAGATGATACTGGGAAACTGGGTAGTTTGTGACAAGGTAGCTATACACAAAACGCTCACAGTATTGTAAGACTTACTAGTATCCTAACTAGGTAAAAATGGTGGGAGGTCATTGGATGTGCTGCTCAAAGCAGCCAGAGGAAAGGGGGTGGTGGTTAGGATTAGGGTTAGGTTTAGGAAGGATTAGGGTGGTGGTAGACCCAAATGATGATGATGTGGCACTTGGGAAGGAGTTCCCCCTCATTCTCCCTAATGTTTTCCCCAATCTAAAACCCCATCCAATGATGGGTCTTCTTCCATCTTGGCTCGTCTAGCTCTGAAAGAATACATAATGGTCATTGATGTAAAAGAAACAATGATTACAACTTCTTGTTGTAGAGAGAACATGCAGCAATTTTTTTGAAAGAAGGTAAGTATTCAGTGTGTCATCACAATTTTGGAATTAGGACTGAGATAGATCGCAGTTCCAAGAGTGGATCAATCTGTAAGTCTACAGTAGGCTATAAAATAGTCAAAGTGTAAGGCCAATACCATGTTATTAGCACATGGGTTTGCAGATTCTAAACTCTCTTCTGGTTCTGAGTTTTCCACTACGATTTATTAAATGAAGAAGGGCCATCCGACCCAAAGTCCAGACTCGCTGACACGTGCATTTTCAAACATTTTTTGTCCACACACCCCTTTGGATTTACCCACAGACTTCCCACAACTAAAGTACTTACATTTGCGATATCCGTCTCAAATGCCATGACTGCTCTAATTTCTCCTTCGACGAAGGCATTGTCTTTGGAGACATTCAGATCTTCTCTGATCATTTTGGCAACGGTGATCATGTACTGCAAGTAGGCTTCTCGGACCTAGGAAGCAGGCCAGAAGGAGCCATTTTGAATTGGCATATATGGATCGGGGTTGGCCAACCTCCAGGAGAGGCCTAGCAATCTCCTGGTATGACGACAGATCTTCAAATGGCAGAGATCTGTTCCCCCTGAGAAAATGGCTGCTTTGGAGGATGGTGGGATTGCCAGGTCCGAACGGCGAGCCGGGACACTCCAGGAGAGGGGAGAAAAGAAGCATGCCATGCCTAACTCACTTCCGTGGACATCGGGGGTGATGTGAAGCTAATTCTACCATAGAGTTTTGCCCAAAGACCAGAGCATCACCGATGTGCCTATCTCACTTCTGGGCGACAATGGCTGATTCCACACTAGACCTTAAATCCTGGTTCAACCCTGTCCCTGAACTTACATTCTACACTCCACTCGAGTTCACCCCTGTAATTATCTTGGGGTATTTTTTGTTTCCACATTGCATTGAGGTCACCCCGGTTTCGCCCCACACGTCCTGGGATAAACGGATGCTATTATAGGTAAAGGTAAAGGTTTCCCTTGCTCAAAAGCATGTCGAATCCAACTCTAGGGATGCAGTGCTCATCTCCGTTTCCAAGCTGAAGAGCCAGCGCTGTCCAAAGACGTTTCCATGGTCATGTGGCCGGCATGACTAAACGTCGAGGTACACGGAACACTGTTACCTTCCCACCGAAGCGGTACCTATTTATCTACTTGCAATTTCTTGCTTTCAAACTGCTAGGTTGGCAGGAGCTGGGACCAGAGATGGGAGCTCACTCCGTCATGCGGCACACTCGGGTCTTGAACTGCTGAACTACTGACCTTCCGGTCTACAGTTCAGCATCTTAACCACTTGAGCCACCAGGGATAAATGCAAGGTATTGTGTCGTGAGTTGGACTCTGATAAAACCAGGGATGAGATCCAAGTGCGGAAAGGCACATTGTGTTTGGGGCAGTAACTCTCCCCCACTGGCCAGCGCTAGGGGGAGTGCCGGAAACCGGGGGTATCCTGTGCTGGGGGGACCTGGCGACCCTAGAGGATGGACCCTATGGCATTATACCCCACTGAGGTTCCCGCTCCCCAAATTCCACCCTCGCTATGCTCCACCTCCAAAATCACAGGTGATTTCCAAACCCAGAGCTGGCAGGCCTCATTTGAAGGCTGTCCACGGGCAGCAAACCCACTGGGGGTGATGTGTGGTGGTCACTGGGGCAGAAGGCCAGAGAGCTAGAGAGCTAAGCAGTGTGATAGGAACGCTGAGGGAAAAGGAGATGGAACCAGCTAGGTCGATAGGAGGAGAAAATCCCAGCTTTTGTGACAAAGGAGGAGGTCATGAAGCAAGGAATCAGTGAAGAACCCTCAGAATAGAGAAATAGGTAGGTTTCAAGTTGTTTAATTGTTTGGAATATGAATAAAATGCACTTTTCCATGAGATATCAGCAAAGATCTATGGCGTCTGTCAGTTATCCCTGTGCCTGTGGCACAGTTTTGCCAGAAGAATGAGAGGCCGGAGCAACTTTAAAATTCATACTGAGCAGCTTGGTTGGGACAAATCAAGAGCAGGAAAGGCAGGTTTTTAAGCAGTGACACCTGTCCCCTGTCCATCCCCCCCCCCCCCCCCCCGAGCGGAGGGATGGTACAACTATCAACTTGCAGCTGACATGATGGCCCCATAGGGTTTTCAAGGTAAGAGATGTTCAGAGGCAGGGCTCTTTTTGTAGAAAAAGCCCCGCAGGAACTTATTAGCATAATAGGCCACACCCAACAGCAGAAACTCATTAGCATATTAAGCCACACCCCGACACCACAGCTCATTAGCATATTAGGCCACACCCCCATGTTACCACACTCACCTTTTGCTTCTTATTCTGTTTACCTTGTTTGTTGTCAAAACCCAGGGCCTTTTTTTGTAGCAGGAACTCCTTTGCATGTTAGGCCACACACCCCTAATGTAGCCAATCCTAATGAGTTTCTGCTGTTGGGTGTGGCCTATTATGCTAATGAGTTCCTGCTGGGCGTGGCCAACTCAGGAGCCAGCCGGAACTCCGTTCCTGTGCGTTCCTGCCCAAAAATAGCCCTGTTCAGAGGTAATTTGCCATTGCCTGCCTCTGCGTAGCGACCCTGGGCTTCCTTGGTAGTCTCCCATCCAAGTACGACCCAGGGCTGACTCCGCTTAGCGTCCGAGATCTGACGAGATCAGGCTAGCCTGGGCTATCCAGGTCAGGTCTTTTTCCTCCTACGCAGAGCTAACTGCAGCTTCAAAAGCACTAACTGGCGGATTTCCAAATTGGCTAATTTGCTAAGTGGCAGATTTCAATCACAGACCTGTTACATCTCATCTAGCTGGCACTGAAGTGTCATTAGAAGACAGAACAGGATAAGAGGAGAAACCTAGTGAAGGAACCACTCAAGGCAATGTTCTCATGAGGATAAGGTACAGTGTGGAAATGGTGAAAAGACTCACTCTTTGGTAGTTGCCATCGTTAAAATAGTAATCTCTCGAAGGCATTCCCAGCCCAGGCTGGTCAATCTGAAGAAAAAACAATCTTAATGAGTGGGAAATTATCTTACAGGATCATCAACATGAAGGGCAAGCTTTGTATATAATAGTTCCATTCACAGTCCAGACAGCTCCAGTTAGAAAGGATAAGATCTCCCTAGTTCTTTTATTTTTTACTGTCCTGGATTTTCTCTCTGCCCTGAATTCCTCTTCTCAGTTCCAACGAAACTAGGAGAATTTCTAAAATCGATTCCAAAACAGGAACATGAATAGATTTTTGCATTCATCTGCATCTTTTCTCTGTATCGGCGACTTGCATGTTAATAGGAACACTGCAAAAAAGCAACTCTCATGTGATTTTATCGTGTGAAGATTCTTTTCTGTGCAGTAATGTTCTTGCATATGGGTACAAGTACACTAGCAGAACTGTGATATAAGTATATTTACAAGCACATCAGGATTGTGTTTTTGCAGTGTTTTACCACTGTATGCATTGACGAGGGCAAGGGAGATGAAAATGAACTGAAAAACATGGCACACTGCACACACCCAGTGCTCTGTACAAAATCCAGAACTTTTTAAAAATGGAACAACAGAAAATTCTTAATACATTAGTCCCATTTTAGAAATGTGATCAAGTAATTCATAACTCCAAAATCAGAATAAGGAATTTTTTGGAAGCATCTCTACTCAAAAGGTTCCAGGACACACATGTTTAAAACAGATGAGAAATAGGTTTATTCCAAATTGGATGCCATTTTCCCTTAGAAATGCCAATTGGTCTTTCACTAGGAACAAAGTCTGACGGGTGAGATCTACTTAATCACTCTTGAATTCCAAAGCACAGGGTGGGGAGGACTTCAAAAACATCCTTACTTATACAGGGTGGGAAAGACCTTGGGCTCAATGGTTAATCTATACGCAAACACACACGCAACAGCTATGCAAACGACAGAAGTAAACTGGTCTAGGCAATCCACAGCCCCCTTTCCCTTTTAACCCTTCCTTACATAAATAATATTTCTGCTGGAATCTCTGTCGTCATGCCATACAAACATATCAACGAGGACTCGTGTGTTGAACCTGGAACTCAGTAAGGAGAGCTTCTCTTCCAGACTCCACTTTGGCTCTGTAGTAAAAGGACAACAACAACATATTACTTCTGAAGTTAATGAATTAAAACGTGATGGGGATTGGAGTGGCTCAGCTTTGGTTACTTCCCGGCAAATAAACTGGCTCACCTCTCTTGTTTTACATTGGCAAGAGCTGAAGCCAATAGTTAGAGTTGCCAACCTCAAGGTGGGGCCTGGAGATCTCCCACTATTATACAGCTGGTCTCTAGATGACAGAGATCAGTTCCCCTGGAGAAAATGGCTGCTTTGGAGGGCGGGCTCTGTGGTATTATGTCTTGACGAGGTCCCTCCCGTTTGTTGTAGTGGTTAGGACCAATGTTCCCTCTAAGCTGTGGAGTCTTGTGAGCAAAACTTCTACTTTGTGAGCTACTGGCATTAAAGTTGTGAGCGAGCGCTTTGTCTACTGCATAAATTGGTTTGCTCTGGAGCCCTCCTCCCTGAGCTAAGACAAAAATGTGTGAGCCGGAGGCTAAAAAACTGAGCTAGCTCACACTAACTCAGCTTAGAGGGAACATTGGTAAGAACCATGGACTCTGATCTGGGAGAACCAGGTTTGATTCCCCACTCCTCCTCCACATGCAGCTGCTGGTGTGACCTTGGGTTCAGTCACAAGTTCTCTCAGAGCTGTACTGTCATGAGCAGTCCTCGAAAGAGCTCTCTCAGCCCCGCCTACCTCACAGGGGAGGGGAAGGGAAAGGAGATTGTAAGCCGCTCTGCGACTCCTTCGGGTAGTGAAGAACGGGGTATAAATCCAATCTCTTCTTCTTCTTCTCCCCTCCCCAAACCCCGCCCTCCACAGGCTCCACCCCCAAATCTCCCAGAATTTCCCAATCCAGAGCTGGCAAAGCCTAAATATACTGTAGCAGTTACAATGCTGGACTAAGACTGAGGAGGCCTGCAGCCCAGTCCCTGCAGAGTCACCCTTTTCTAAGTTCTTTAGTACCTTTAGTGATATTCCAGTCCACAGAAGCCACTGGCCAGCCTCCGATGACACCAAACACCTCTAGCAGAGGTGAAGAATCACGTTGCTCTATAAAACCTGCAGGCGATGAGACAGAAGAGACAATCAACACTGGAAAACAAACTCATAAGCAGGAGGCTGTAACAGATATCCTTTTATGACCTTGCTGGAAACAGTCTACGTGCACACGGACACACGAGACTGCCATATATTGATTCAGACAATTGGTCTGTCTATCTCAGAACGGTCATTTTTGACTGGTAGCAGCCTCCCAGGATCTCAGGCAGAGGAATTTCCAGGTACCTGAGAGCTTTGAACTGAACCAGGAACCTTTTTCATGCAAATGGCTCTGGACCCAATCTGAGACCCCTCCTCTTTGTTAATGCGTTTGGAAGATCCAGGTGCAGCCAAACACACAAACAGCATCTTGCAAATTGCTCTTGGGTATAGTCTACTCCTGAGTCCTTGAAATGACAGCAGCAACTGGCTGCTGCTGAAAGCGGTGTACCCCTTGCTCACTAGCCTGCCATAAAACATGTTGTGTACCAAGGGAGACCGCGCATGCGGTCGGGCTCGCACATGACCCTGTGGACAGGTTAAGCTTCGCATGTGGAGACAATAGAAGTGGAGGATCCAAGAGCTGGCCAATTGGGCAGCCCGGATCCTAAAAGGAACCAATGGTGGGAATTGTTTGTAAATAAACCTATCATGGGTGTGTGTGTGTGGTTAAGAACGGGAACACATTGCTGAAAAACACAGTGACACACTGACTCCATGCTCAGCCTTCGAACAAAGAACATTCCTCCTGGTGCTAAGTTCTAGAGGTTCCTCCCACCTGCCCCACTCGGAGACAATGGATACTTGTCATTTGTCATTACCATTTGCCTGGACCTACGGTGCCTTTGTCTCATAGAAGAAGAAGAAGAAGAAGAAGAAGAAGAAGAAGAAGAAGAAGAAGAAGAAGAAGAAGAAGAAGAAGAAGAAGAAGAAGAAGAAGAAGAAGAAGAAGAAGAGAATGAATTTATCCTCCGCCCTTCACTTGGAGTCTCAGAGCATCTTACAATCACCTTTCCGTTCCCCTCCCCTCAACAGACACCCTGTGAGGTATGTGGGGCTGAGAGAGCTCTTTTGAGGGCTGCCCTTTCAAGGACAGCTCTTGTCAGAACTACGGCTTGCCCAAGGTCATCCAGCAGGTGCAAATGGAGGAGCGAGGAATCAAACCCGGTTCTCCCAGATTAGAGTCCACACACTTAACCACGACACCAAACTGGCTCTGTTTCCGCCCCCCCTTCCCCTGATGAGACTGCCCCCTTTCCCAGCAAGCCTCATTCATGTATCCCCTTCTACCAAGTCAGCATGCTCTGACAATTCAGGTCATTTCGAGGTGATAAAGGAGACACAGCCATCTTCTTGTACTCCCCCTTCTCTTCTATCTAGAATTGCCAACTTTTGGCGGGGAAAAACCCGCCCTCTCCAGCTATCTCTTCAACAGCAGCTGGATCCTGCAGCAGTCAGCAGGCGATTGATTAATGTTTAGCTCTGCATCATGAGCAGCTTCACCCACTGGTTTTTTTGCATATCAAGAAACCATTCAAAGCAGAAGTATAAGCCTTACTGTTTTTTTCATCTGGTTTCGCTAACGTTAGAAAGAACTTCCTGACAAGTAGAGCGGTCAGCGGTTCCTCAGTGGAACAGGCTTCCATGGGGGCGGGTTGGGGGGGGCTCTCCTTCTTTGGAGGTTTTCAAACAGAGGCTAGATAGGCATCTGACAGCAATGCTGATTCTGTGAATTTAGGCAGATCATGAGAGGGAGGGCAGGAAGGGTCGCATCAGTGCTCAGTTCTCATGACCCTTTCTTACACGCCCAAAGACATGCTGATGGCCACTTTGGGGTCAGGAAGCATTTTTTTCTCCAGGCTGGAGATCCTGGAGGTTTTTTGTTAGCTTCTGGGTGTGGAACAGGGGTCACTGAGTGTGTGTGTGTGGGGGGGGGAGGTATTTGTGAATTTCCTGCATTGTGCAGGGGGTTGGATTAGATGACCCTGGAGGTCCCTTCCAACTCTATGATTCTAGCTGGCAAGCTGACTTGGATCGCGTGTTGGCGCAGGGCAGCTGTTCTAGCTATAGAGGGCTTCTGTTGCAGCTACAGAAAATCTAAATGGTTCAACCGTTGGGCGTTATGATAGAAGTTTAAAGAAATGGGCGTATGGTGCTGCTGCAGTTTCCGGCTGTGCTGGACTTGAGTGATGCGCAACAGGAAGAGTTTTGTATAGTGGTGATGGAGCATTTGTGCCATTGGGCACTTGGGGATCAATGAGGAGTTAGGATGTCTCTTAAATTGAAACAGAGGAGAAAAGAAGATGGTAACCAGAAACAGGAAATGATGAATCCAGTTTCTCTGTAAGTTCCTTTGCCCATCCCTAGCTGTAATTCTGGGGTTCCCCAGGTCCACATGGAGGCTAGCGACCCTAGAAAAGTATTCGGCCCTTGCACCAATTTTCAAAGCCAGCCCACCCACAGAGAAGCTACAGGTTTTTGCATACTTGGGTCCTCTGAAGGTATGCAGGGGAAAATATGACTTTGTAACTTAACCAACAAGTAGATCTTTCGTATAGGGTTGCCTACCATCAGGCGAGGCTGGGAATTACAACGGATGTCCAAAGTCAAGAGAAAATGTCACTTTTTCCTTCCTTTTTTCCTTCCTTTTTTCCTTCCTTCCTTCCTTCCTTCCTTCCTTCCTTCCTTCCTTCCTTCCTTCCTTCCTTCCTTCCTTCCTTCCTTCCTCTGTCAATTTTCCTTCCATGGTCTATCAGTTTCCTTCCCTGCTCCCTATATTATCATTTGGCCTTCCTTCAGTTTCTCATTTATTTTTCATTCCTTCCCCTTCGAAAAAGATCCTTTGTGTCTGCTTGTGAATCCAAGTGGGCAGGGGTAACAGAAGGGCTACATTGGCTGCATGGTGGTGGGAAATGAGTCAAAAATAAGCCCTGGATTTCCCAGAAAGGCCTTCGTTTCAGTAAAGATAGAGACCGGATAGGTGATTAGGCAAACACAGAAGAAGAGACTCACTCTCGTTCATACAGGACCGATAAAGTGTTTTTGCCTTCCGGAAGGCTTCCCGGTCTTCCTGCCCTGGTGTCTCCAGCACACCTGGAGGATACAAAGGTCATGATGGAAATAACAGCTTGCAATCAGAAGACCAGTACATGAGGTGAGAGAAACGAGAAGAAAGTTTGGTGTTGTGGTTAGAATGTTAGACCAGGGAGGTCTGGATCCAAACCCCACCTTAGCCATGCCATTCACTGGCTAACCTTGGGACAGTCGCGCAAAGTCACTCTCTCTCCCAGGTGTTCCTGCTCGTTTTCAAAGGGATAGTTGTTTGTATGCAAAGGGACCACTGGACAGACAGCTGGACCAAATGCAAGAGAAGGTGGCACTCTAATTACCCCCCTCTAAAGTCATGCTGGCCACATGACCACAGAAACGTCTTCGCACAGCACTGGCTCTTCAACTTGGAAACGGAGATGAGCACCACCCCCTAGAGTCAGATTCGACTAGCTTTCGAGCAAGGGAAACCTTTATCTTTACTTAATGCACCACCACGGTACTTCCGATATCATACTTTGGCAGCATCCTGAGAAGATAACACTTACTAAAAAAGACAATAGTGCTAGGCAGGGCTCTTTTTGCAGAAAAAGCCCAGCAGGAACTCATTAGCATAATAGGCCACACCCAACAGCAGGAACTCATTAGCATATTGGGCCACACCCCTGACAGCACAGCTCATTAGCACATTAGGCCACACCCCCATGTTACCAGAAGTGTGGTTATCCAGCCACACCCACCTTTTGCTTGTTATTCTGTTTACCTTGTTTGTTGTCAAAACCCAGGGCCTTTTTTTGTAGCAGGAACTCCTTTGCATGTTAGGCCACACCCCCCTAATGTAGCCAATCCTAATGAGTTTCTGCTGTTGGGTGTGGCCTATTATGCTAATGAGTTCCTGGTGGGCGTGGCCAACTTGGGAGCCAGCCGGAACTCCGTTCCTGTGCGTTCCTGCCCAAAAATAGCCCTGGTGCTAGGAAAAGTTGAAGGCCATAGGAAGACCCAATACGAGATGGATCAACTCAGTAAAGGAAGCCACAGCCTTCCATCTGCAAGACCTGAGCAAGGCTATTAAACAATAGGGTGTTCTGGAGGTCATTTATTCACAGGGTCCCCATACGCCAGAAGAAACTTGATGGGAAGAAGAAGAAGAGGAGGAGGAGGAGGCGGAGACTGGATTTATACCCTTCCCTTCCCTCGGAGTCTCAGAGCGGCTTACAAACTCCTTTCCCTTCCCCTCCCCACAGCAAACACCCTGTGAGGTAGGTGGGGCTGAGAGAGCTTTTTCCAGAACCAGGGCCCAACAGCAGAAACTCATCAGCATATTACACCACACCCCCATGCCTTCCCCTTGGCTTGGCAGGGCGCCCCACGGCTGTGAGGAGCCCGGGCAAGCCAGCCCTTGGAGGGGAGGGGAGGGGAGGGGAGGGGAGGAGGTTTAGACTGCCTTCCCTTGGCTTGGGTATAGTGGGTGTGGTCAACTCTGAAGCCAGCTCGAACTCCGTTCCTGTGCGTTCCTGTCCAAAAATAGCCCTGTCCAGAACTGTCCTTGAGAGAACAGCTCTGACAGAACTGTGGCTTGCCCTAGGTCATCCAGCAGCTGCAAGTGGATGAGTGGGGAATCAAACCCGGTTCTCCCAGATTAGAGTCCGCGCACTTAATCACTACACTGGGACTGAGAGAGTTTTGAGAGAACCATAACTGGCCCAAGGTCACCCAACCATCTTCACGTGGAGGAGTGGCAAATCAAACCCGGTTCTCCAGATTGGAGGCCGACACTCTCAACCACTACGCCCCGCTGGCTCTGTGAAGCCCTCAGTCTGGACAGATGAAGGCACATCTTGGCCATTCCAAAGAGAAAACGTGAGGAAAACGGACTCTCACCTTTGAGAATAATCTCTAGCTCGTCCCTCAAGATGTCAAAGATGCTATATCTGGAGCTTGTTTCTGGGATCACGTGCCGATTCAGCCAGCCTCCACAGGCGTACTGGTAGAAATTCTGGCACGGCTCTGCCATTGGGTCCATGTTCTGAAGTATCCTGGCAGCTAGGAAGGGGGCATGAAAACACAAAGAATCCTTGGTTAGAGGAACACCCATGTCCTACCTGCCTTACACACCTTTGTACGGAAGCCTTTAAGGCCTTTCAGCAACTCACAGAAATCTCCCGCACAAGAGTCTGCACTCTTCAATCTTGTGGAGGAGCTGAAATGAAAGTCTTCCCCCAAAAGTCCAGAGAGGACATGAAAGTCTTATTCTGGTGCTTAAGACCAGGGGTCATTTCGTAGAAAAAGAGCTAGGGGAACTCATTAGCATAACTCATTAGCATATGCCACACCCCCTGACATCACCGGAAGTGTGTCATAAGGCCACACACCCCGCCCCCAACGGTCCTGGCCGCCACCGGCGGCCTTGCAGCTCCACTGCCGAGCCCCATGAGGGGCCCGGCGGTGGACCTGCAAGGCCGGCGGGAGTGCGAGGAAGCCCCGCGAAGGCCCTTCCTGGCCCCAGGCAGGCAGGGGTGGGGAGAGGCAGGGAGGAAGCAACTTACCCTCCCTCTTCTCCTGCCTCCTCCTGGCTGAATGAGGGCCGGAAGTGGGGCGGCTGGAAGCAGGGGGCGGGGCTTCGTCATGTTCCCCGCCTCCCGTACCTCACCCGGGGGAACTGCGATCTCCTGTGATCCCCCCCGAAATGACCTCTGCTTAAGACAAAATAGATTTGACACTATGTGAGCAGTTGTGGGAAGACTTCCCCCAATTAAGGCCTCCAGGGAAGATCTTAATTGCCAGGAAGTCTCATACAGAGACAATTGGTCCTTTAAGTCCCCAATTCCAGGTCAGTGAAGATTTCAAAGGTCATGACCATCACTTTTGAATGGGCCTACAATCAGATAGGCGACCAATGTTATTTTTTAAAGAAAAAACTTGGCCAAGTTATAGTATCGGGTACCCCTACACAACTGTGTTGCAGTATTTTGGACCAGGCACAGCTTCTGAACAATCTTCAAAGGCCATCCCAGGTAAAGCGCATTGCAGTAGCCTCATCAGGATGTGATTACAGCCAATGGTCCCTCTAAGCTATGGAGTCCTGTGAGCAAAAATTCTACTTTATGAGCTACTGGCATTAAAGTTGTGAGCAGGTGATTTGGCTACTGCATAAATTAGTTTGCCCTGGAGCCACATCCTTCCTGAACAAAGACAAAAATGTGTGAGCCAGAGGCTAAAAAACTGTGAGCTAGCTCACACCAACTCAGCTTAGAGGGAACATGGGTCACTGTGGCCAGCCTATTAAGAAAAGGCCACAGCTGGGTCCAAGGAGCTATGCGCCACAATGGAGATCTGAGTCTCCGTCTGTAGGCGGGGACCGGTGGCCTGGTTCACACGTGCAAGACACCAAGGTGGGAACGGAATGCCATGGTGGTAGAGCGGAGTGCTCCATTTCAGACTGCTGATGGTGGATTCTGACTGCCATGGGAGTGGGGGTGACTCTGGAATGTTAAGTTTCAATTCTGCTGTGTCTTCTATGTTTCTGTTATCTGTGTCTGACCTTCAGTGCTTGGTGTAGCATTTCTCTTGGGAAAAGTAGCCCGTTACTTTGGCGGGCTTCTACCTGATCCCTGATTGGCCCTAGGCCATCAGGGGGTCCCCTTAAATGATGCACAACTGCCTATTACCTGCACTTTCCTTTAGTTCTAACACGAAATGGTTAAGATATCTGCAAACTCTCAAAGTCTCAATAAACTTGACTTCTTTGAATGAAAGCTGTTGGGAACTGATTGCCACAGGAGTCTGACACTCGGGACAATCCGCTCCTTCCCTGCAAACAGGAAACCAGCGGATTTGCCCCTTTCTCCTTGTTCTCGGTTTTCTATTTGGAGAGTGGGGAGGATTATGGGAAGGGTTTTTTGTGTGTGTGTGCATTGTGAAAACTAGGCTCAGTAGCCCCACCAACCTGCCAACCTCCTCTTGTGCATTATTACCCTCTACATGGATACGCCATGTTCTTTTTTTAATCCTGACCATAACGCTTTCCATGTGTATTTTTCCATTCGTATTGCCCCTGAGAGCAGCCATAACAGACACTACCCTCAGCCCTTGTTTGTATGTTTAAGGCCTGGCTTAAGTACAAGCAATCGGGAGTGGGAATTCTTCCTAATTATTTGGCTCATCAGAGATTGGACAGAGTCCTATTCTTGACATGCTTACAGATATCTTTATTTCTAAACAAGTTCGCTGCACTCCGGCATTTGTTTTTCATAGAAGGTCTTCGCTGGAATGCATGTCATGCCTTGAAAAACTCTCAAGGGATTGGCCCAGATTCTTCAACGCTCAAGTTTAAATGAGCAAATTTAATCTATCCAAACACAATTTTCAGTCTTTGGGATAGCTGTCATCTTTGGGGCAATTTCCAGGTCTACACCACAAATGAATGTGGTAAAACATGGCAACTGAATGCGGCAAAACATGGCAATGGATCCCAGAGACGTGAGGTCCAGTTCACCGTACAGATCTTCCAAATTCTGTGTAATCTGCCTTGCATCTCCATGTCAGAAGTAGGCTACAAATATAGTAAGTAAATAAGTAATGGCTATTGACAAGAAATACATACATAAATGCCCTGGTATGAATTCACTCGATCAAAAGCATCAACCTCAAAGAGTTTCTGTTATCTGTGTTCTATTAAATTTGTATTTTCTATTGGTTTATTTGTGTATTAATGAGTTTATGAATAAGTTATTACATTTATGACTACTATGGCATAATGCTGTAATATTTAAATCTTTATTTATTTATGCAGATTCCTTGTAAATAGGGAATGGTTCAGGGAGCGGGGTGGGTGGGGAGGAGAGTGCTATATATTACCTGCTGTGACACATCCTGGAGTGGTACATACGTTCTCAGGGCTGGCACCATTTCGCATATCTGTGGGAATAACAAAGATTCATGAAAGACCCTCTCTTAGGAATGGTGCCAAATCTGGCCAGCAAAGGGTTGATGCAGATCATCTAGAACTGAAGCCACCTTGGTCACTCCGGAGGATGACTCTACCAGTAGGATTGATTAATTAGGGATTTTGCCTTGTTTTATAAACATAGGCTGAGTTCAGACTGGCAGTTTGAAGTGGGAGGGAGTTGTGGCAAAAAAGACCCGGAACAAACTTGTTAAGTCGCTTGCTTAACAAATAAGTCGGAGAGTGATTCAGCAAGAACACAAATTTATTCTTCAACTCGAACACAACTCCAACACGGATCAACGTCAGGTAGCCAGAACAGAACGGTTCAACTTTTACATGGCAGGAGCCTTGCTTTTAAACTTTCCCGGCTAATATAGCCATGCCCACTGTACACATAACAACCAATAAGGTTGAAGACATAAGGACCAATCACGGTCGTTCCCTCTCAGGCGCTTGCTGTAAAGTGATTGGCTTGTAAGTTCCTGGACTAGCACCAGATTGGATATCTTTGGATCCTAGTCCAGGACGAAGCTTAATATACCCTTCCTACGAGCTGTTTCACATAATATGTTTACATACATTCCAATACATCACAAAACTGTTCCGGGTTTTCCCGATCACACTGGACCGACTGATACAGGAGCATACCGGGGAGGAGGTGCTAGGGAGTGTTCACACTGTTGGCCTGCCCCTGGTGGAGGCACAGCTGTAAGGCGTGGCTTTCTTTTTGGTAGTCTGGAGATATGCGCATATGCGCATAAGTGCTTATGCGCACAAAAAACCGCACGGCTTTTGGCGTTCACACTTTGTTGGTGCGGGATGGACACGGGATAATTGTGCTTTCCAGGGTTTGATACCACTTTCACCTGGTATCTTTTAAACTCTGGAGGGAAGCGTTACGAGATGGGTTGAGTACAGCTGGGGAACGCTGGACAGATGTTGCCTGTGTGAACGGCCCCTTTAATCGGTTTGTGAAACGTTTCTGAAATGTGCCTCTATCGGGCCAAACTGCCAGTCTGAACTCAGCTGTACTATCTCAGTTTGAAAATCCCTCTTTCTGATGCCATTTCTGCCTGCTTGGGAGGAAAGCGGAGCTCTCTCCCCAACCATAAATACAAAGTTTGAGTCCCATGGCATGGATTCTCCATTCTGCAGTCATGGCTGCTGCAGATGCAGGGACATTCACACTGGCGACAGAGCACCCACACAGGAGCTTTCTGCACACTTTCTTCCATCAACCACCATTCTCCTTGCATCCTTTCTCCACCAGGCCACTGCTTAATTGGTAACTGTTACAGTGCCCTGACCTGGAAGCCAAGCTGAGTCAGCCCTGGTTAGGACTCAGATGGGAGACCAGCCAGGGGTCATTTCCTGCAGGAGCGCACAGGAGTGGAGCTCCGGCAGTAAAAAGCCCAGGGGGCGGGCACATGCAACAAACCCCGCCCCCTGCTCCCAGCAGTCCTCAGTCAGAGCAAGAAGCAGCCAGGTAAGTTGCAGAGCCCACCCCACCCCCCTGTTCCAAAACAGTCCAGTGGCACCTTTAAGACCAAGTTTTATTCAGGCACAAGCTCTCCCTTCTCTGCGAGGACAGATCTGCACGTCCCCCCCCAATAGCTAGCAATCCAGAACAGTCCAGTGGAGCCTGAGCGGTGGGTGTTGCCTTCTGACACAGTTCCAGTGATGTCAGGGGGTGATAGAAGGAAAACATTACCAATGATAGTGGGACCTTTGAAAAGGCAGACAGGGTTTTTTCAGGAGGTCTGTGCACGAGGGATGTGCGCTTGGCTGATCAAATCCCATAGATTAACAATCCGAAAATATGCAGTGTACTGCTATTAAAGAAGATTATTAACGTACCAGAGGAGCAAGACCCAAACTGAAATAAAATTTCCATGTCCTTCCCTAATTCCATGCATTGATAACCAAGAATGAGGAGGAGGAGGAGGAGAAGAAGAGGAGGAAGAGGAGGAAGAGGAGGAGGGGGGGGAGCAGATTGGATTTATACTCCGTCCTTCACTACTTGAAGGAGTCTCAGAGCAGTTTACAATTTCTTTTCCTTTCCCCTCCCCACAATAGACACCCTGGGAGGTAGGTGGGACTGAGAGAACTCTTTCAAGAACTGCTCGTGAGAGAACAGCTCTGAAAGGACTTGTAACTGACCCAAGGTCACACCAGCAGCTGCATGTGGAGGAGTGGGGAATCAAACTCAGTTCTCCCAGATTAGAGTCCACGCTCCTAACCACTACACCAAACCTTCTCTCTGAGGAAGCAACTAAATACTGCAACAAAATGCGTACACATAGGACAACTGAGGATTGATTCCTAACACATCGGTTCCTCTTCAGAAGGATGACCACATAGTTTTGAACTCAAAATCCGGGGAGAAATCTGAGTGAGAAGCAGCTAATTTGATTGTCTTTTGAGAGAACAGAATGGATGAAATTTGCGTCATTCTAATGGTGCTACCAGGGTCAGCTTTTTATGTACACGGTCCTTTTTGTAACCACCGGAACCTTGCCTTAATTTTATATCATTTTCTTGAGGCACAAATACACCAGTAAAGTAATGGGATGTTTATTTTTGCATGTTTAAATCCTGACCTCCTCGCAAGGAATGAGGATAAAGCAGGGCCTTTTGTAGAAAAGCCCAGCAGGAACTCATTAGCATAATAGGCCACACCCAACAGCATAAACTCATTAGCATATTAGGCCACACCCACGACAGCGCAGCTCATTAGCATATTAGGCCACACCCCCATGTTACCAGAAGTGTGGTCATCCAGCCACACCCAACTTTTGCTTCTTATTCTGTTTACTTTGTTTGTTGTCAAAACCCAGGGCTTTTTTTGTAGCAGGAACTCCTTTGCATGTTAGACCACACACCCCTAATGTAGCCAACCCGAGTGAATTTCTCCTGTTGGGTGTGGCCTATTATGCTAATTAGTTCCTGCTGGGCGTGGCCAGCTCGGGAGCCAGCCAGAACTCCGTTCCTGTGCGTTCCTGCCCAAAAATAGCCCTGGAAAGCAGATCATGTGAAGTGACCATAGAATCATAGAATCCCAGAGTTGGAAGGGGCCATACAGGCCATCTGGTTCAACCTCCTGCTCAGTGCAGGCTCAGCCTAGAGCATCCCTGACAAGCTTTTGTCCAGCTGCTGCTTAAAGACTGCCAGGGAGGGGGAGCTCACCACCTCCCTAGGCCTTATAGACCATAAGCTTTATAGATAAGATTTGCCCT